TTTTTAGAATTTGGCACAAAAAGCATGGCCAGATGTGGCCAGTGATTAAAGAGTTTCCCCAAGAAAAGCTGTTCGGCCAGCTTTTCTTGGGGAAAAGCTGTTCGGCCAGGTAGTAAATATCTTTTGATGGAACTGGCAACCCAGTTTGGCTAAGTAGACAAATGTCTATTCTGACAGGGGCCAGCAACCGACTGTGTCTTCATTTTGCATCTGAGTCAAATCAAAATACTTTCATTATGTGTAAAAAGTAGCATTTGGGCTCATATGCATATGTAGTATGCAGATTTGGTGTGTAGTAAAGATTGATAGGGGGGTAAATCAAGATTGAAGATGCGTCTACTGGACAAGATGCAGCTGTCGTGGGGAGAGGAGCAGCATGTAACCGAGCACAAAATGAGATGGAGAGAGATGTCACATAGGGAATGAAGAGGAGTCAGTATATTTGTAAGTGGTAACATTAGAAGTGAACGTTGGTGAGTGAACATTAGAAACATGATTTTAGGGTTAGGGTTAGGGGTTAGGGGATAAACCCCATTCTCTGAACCAAATTCTCAGTGGCCTAATCTCATTTTTTGAATCAAACACTCTTTTGGCCAAACCTTAAAAACTGCAGGTATTTAGACTCAATTTGCAAAACTCATCTGCTCTTTTTTGCTAAAGCTTTAATGCATTCTCAGTCACACATTTGCAAAATTCTAAACACTGGCAGCAAAATGTGAACACAACTCCAACACAGCTGTCATCTTTTGCACACAACAACTCAAAATTGAACATACGTGTTTCTAATGATGTGATCAGACCAACTGGGCAGGATAAAAGTCAGTTCAGAGTGCACAGGCAGCACATGTGCATCCGTCTACAATGGACAGACACATACAGAGAGGCAGAGGAGGAAGAGTTCGTGTGAGAGGTGGTGGACGAGGAGGAAGGGGATGAGGAAGAGGCCAAGAACAATCATTGCTGATGAAATACGGGCAACTATTGTACACCGTGTCCTTGTTCATGGGATGACAATGAGAGAAGCAGGACAAAGAGTCCAACCGAAATTGAGCAGATTCTCTGTGGCCAGCATCATCAGGACATTCAGAGAAGAGAACAGGTATACAGAATACTATACTGTACGTACTATAATGTTCATTAAAGTACTATTTTCACTGGCTGTATGGCTGCACATGAGCAGCTGGATCAACAAGCAGTGCATCCTGTATGTGTCATAGTTTGGGACAATGTGAGCTTTCACCGTGCTGTCCTGATACGTGAGTGGTTCAACAACCATGGCTTCATCAAGGTTTTCCTCCGTTGCCTAACAAGGGAAAATATCGCCTGTGACATGTATGAGGTCCTCTGGCCAGACCCCGCACAAAGACATGATGTTGGAGAATGAATCTCAGTGACTTAGATTGTGCAGTAATGTGCTTTTCATTCATTTTTTTGTGCTGAATGTAGATATTACTTTGACTACGATAATTTTTTGCTAAATGCATTTACAGTAAACATTTTCTGCTAACTACATGCAATGGATGCTGTGTCCTAAATGATTTTATGTAGTGTCTAATGAATGCTCTGTGGTGAATATATTTTTACTTGCTGTGTGTATTATCTGGACACATTGTTTGGTTTTGAACACAGGATAACTGGTTTTGAGGTGATAGTTTGATTGTGATAGAAAAGTCTAGGGTTTTGTGAATGTAGTTTGAAGTTTTGGATTTGTGTTTAAGGTTTTGAGGTGGAGGTTTCAACAAATGTGTTTTAGCAATTGGGAAAAACTGTAAGAATAATATTATCGTCAGTTCACTCAGTGTAAATGCAAACATCAGCTGCTGACTCGTAAGCGTTAACGCTAACATTACCGTTAAAACCAAACAGTCTAACGTTAGCTAATTGGTTACATTAGCATTAATACAAACAAGTTTACCTCATTGACTTGGGTTGAGTTCTCCATTGCAGCTGCAGCTGTCATGAGGTCAGAGGCTGGCCACTCTGTGTTTGTGTGCAGTCAGTTTCATTTTTATTGCCGTTCACTGCTATGTCAGCAGGGTGTTTTTCTTCACTCTCCAGGCCAGTGGTTCCCAACTGGTGGGTCGTGGTCCAAAAGTGGGTCGAGGGTCCATTCTGAACGGACTGCAAGTGACTCACGAATGTCTCAAGTTTATAAAAAACACACTTTAATTTGACGTACAGTAAATTTCCGACACGGAGCTTTAATTTTTAAGTGCCATTTCCTGTTGTAGAATGATTAACTGGCAGACAGATGCTTGACAGACACAACAAAATGGCCAACCACAAGTATGACTACGACTGAGGAGATTGACTAAGAAGAAATCTGGACCCAGGGGCTGGACCAGTTGGGATCCACTGCTCTAGGCTACTGTAGATTAAAAAACACCTTAAAATACACCTTATTTTCGGGGTTTGGGTCATTGGCATCTGCAGTAGAGGTGCTCCTGGTGCCCCTCTTCCCCAACTACACACAATCCCCGCATTTAGGGCAGACTTGTAATAAAGGTTTAGATGGCAAGTGTAGGAAAGAATAAAGCTGATGACTTGCTTGAAAAGTACTTGTTTCTTAAGAACCTAGCTGTAACATTAGCTAGCTCAGTGGTGCTAGTGAGCTAGCAGTAGAGGCACACTTCCTTCTGTGCTGTGATGCGGTTGGCAGGTAGCCTGGAAATCCAGACCCAAATCTAGAAAGATTTAAGGTCTGGCCATGAGCAATGAAAATGGCCCAACTTGAGGGGCGGCACCAAGCATGCATTTGTAACTATCGCTGCACGCAATTGGATAACACTACAACCAATCAGAACAATACACAGGGTGACGTATCCAGAGCGCTACCAGCGGAGCTAACTGGTAGATTAGACTCTTGCTGTATCTGGTCAGCAAAACAGCAAAAACATCCTTCTTGCAAAGGAAAGACTTGAGCGCCGTCTTCTGTTCCTCTTTTAGAGAAAAAAACAAGTCAAATTCATTCATTGTAGCGGCCAAAGCCGTTTCAAACAACTGGTGTTCATCCGTAGCCATCTTGCAATGTTTACTGACTGATTCCGGACTTCATTGTTGCAGCGCTGTCGTCATCTGTTTAGCCCACCTCTGGCCCGCCTATGTCAGATACACCGATGTGATTGGTGTAGCTTGGTTTCACGGGCATAGGTAATGAGCATCATTACTGATTGCCAGAGTGACTCGCTGAGCAAATTCAAATTGTGCTCTCGTGAGAACTCTGGATTTCCAGGGTAGCTGGCAGGTGTAGTTCAGTAAAAAGAAAAAAGTTCCTACATGAAACAGGTCTGCGGACTATCTTGAGGAACCAGGTCATGATTTCTAAAACGAGGCATTGCTGTTAAGTTTTTAAAATGTAGACTATTGTTCTGTCGCTCCAAGTACCACAAGTTGTGTTCCATCTAGTTCCACAATACTAGAGAGAAGGCAGGCGTCTCGACAGCTGATATCTCCAACACTCAGCGCTTCACACCAAAACAATCTAGATTGATAAATAGCACTTCAGGCTATACGAAAAATATGTGTATTCGATTTTGGGGGTGAACTGTCCCTTTAAGCTCATGGTACGTGTGCTCGCATAACTCAGTGGAGACTCAGATGAATGTGTCACCTTTGTCCACTCAGAGTGTCACTCATCCTGACTACAGTGGCTGAACAGTAGCAAGATACATTTTGGAGAGACTGAAACTCTCAGCCAAAAGTAAGGGGGCCATGCCTCCCTCATCCCTAGTGGAAGCTATGCTCTTGGGTGTGAAGATCATCAGCATGACAGCTATAAATAAATCTTGGTTGTCTTTAGGGAAACAATTAGCACAAATTCCATCTTTTACCACAACAACGTCATTAAAAACACCACAAACATGATAAATACTTGGAAAGCAAATGTGCGTGCGGAACACTTGATTGGTCACTGCAGAGACGTGACCTCAACATAACTGAGGCTGTTTAATTGCACACAATCTCAGTCAAAGTTGAGTCCATCACTAAAAAAAAAAAAATTAAAACCCTGACAAAAACAAACCAAACTCATGGGGCGTCGGTGGCTTAGTGGTAGAGCAGGAGCCCCATGTACAAGGCTGTTGCTGCAGCGGCCCGGGTTCGACTCCAGCCTGTGGCCCTTTGCTGCGTGTGTGTGTGTGTGTGTGTGTGTGTGTGTGTCTCTCTCTCTCTCTCCCCCTTTCACGCTTGTCTGTCCTATCAAATAAAGGCTAAAAATGCCCCAAAAATATCTTAACATAAACAAAAAAAAGCTTGAAAGAATTTCCCACAGGAAATACAGAAGACCCTTTGTGTGGTAACATGACATACTGCTGCCTTGAGCCTTAAGAAACAGCACTACCTTTTTAAAACAGGTTCTCTACTCTTTATTGTTTCCATGTTTCTTCGTTTACTGCAGTGTTTTGACTGAATAAAACTAAATGTGTTGAATTAGAACCATTTACCTGGACTTTCGGGTGTCCCACTGCACCTAGCATGAACTCAAAATGGCTGATTTAAGAACGCCAGAGGCAGGAAGACTTGCCCCGACTTTACTACCAATGCTGCTGATGCTGTGCCCAAAACCCCCGATCCTAAACTGTTTCAGTGGGGCTTAAAGGTGTCAATGTGGAAATACAGGTTGAGAAAGGCTGTATAGAGGTGCGCTACTGGCCCTTGAGTTAGGGCGCAGATCCGGAAGCACAACCACATCTAGGTACCTTTAATCTGTTATTCCCTGTCTCTACCATCTCATTTCCTGTCATCTCTCCATTGTTCACTGTCAAAAAATGCTAATAAATGTCAAAAACGCCCTTTAAAAATTGTAAAATTTCGCAATTTTTTTACATTGTAAGGCACATTTTTATATTGTTAAAAGCTGAACACTGAATACACAATTTTAAGACAGCACCATGTGATTCTCAAACAGTTATTGTGTTTTACATATCAATTATACATATGCAGAAATTAAGTCCAATACATTGAGTAACGTTGTTTTGGACAACAAAACACAACAAAATGGCTTCATTCATCAACCTTCAGAAGATGACAGTGAACCACTTTTATTACACAAATGACCAACAGTTGGTTTTGGCGTCTACATACAGTAAAGCAGCTTTAACCACAGTAAGTGGTTGGTAGAGCAGGTTGAAATGTTACTTCTTCTTGCCACCTTTCGGAGCTTTGTCTAGTCCTTGGATGTACTTTCGAGGAATTTTATAATGATCTGTAAATTGAAATATAAGATTTGGCAAATTGAATTTACTTGCACAAATAAAGCAACTGAGAGAGTCGATTGAGAAAAGCTGTAATATACTTTAAATATTATTAAGTTCCAAACCTAGCAGCAAATTGCCAACTTGATGAATCTGGTTTCCTTGGATCTGGACCAGGACTTTGTCCTTGGATCCAGGGAGGGGCTGTAAAACAGAACTGGCCTGGACTCTGTGCTGCAAAGCGGTGGCCACAACAGCAGGATCCAAACCGTACACTTCCAGGTTCTTTATAAGAGTGACCTACAGATAGCATATGGAAACAATCAGAGCCAGAACAATAAATCAGTATTAGCCTTCCGGTTATACATCTGGTTGTATCGTGCCAATAATTAGCAAGACACTGCAGTACAGAAATGATAAATGAATGTTCAAGGTCACATAGAAACCTAGTCAGCATTACATGGTTTGTATAAACAAAAAAGTTTATATTTCAACAGTAAAATGTCCCACACTCAGTATCAGCTCATTTATCATCATCAGACTTTTTGGCCACATTAGCGATGTGACTCCAGGGATGGCAGTGTCAGTCAGTCTGTCTAACACTTAAGTCCAGACTAAAAAACCTCAACAACTAGCAAACATTTTGCCATGAAATGTTGCACAGACCATAGGGTTGGCACTACGCTTCCAAGATGATGCCGTCCCAATATCAGGGGTTACCAATGTATGAGTGCAGTGCAAAGGCGCAGCAATGAGCTCTCAGCGGGATTTACACATGCTCTAACATGCATGCGACCATCTTACCACAAGAAACTACGGCGAACCTCAGATTACAGCACACAGAGGGAGCGTGACTTTTTCTCTGCTCAGGACGCCATTACACCACTACATCTTTACATAGCTAACAGTGGTTTGCTGCTTTATTAACGCTATGAATGTTAGATACAGAACCTTTAACTTAAGACAGTGAACATGGCAAACATTACACCTGCTTCACATCAGCATGTTAGCGTTGTCATCTTAACCATGATAAAGTCAGCATTCATCTCAAAGCACCACTGTGCCTTAGTACAGCCTTACAGAGCTGCTAGCATGGCGGTAGACTCTTGTTGCACTCATATCAGTACTGGCAAAAAAGAAATCACTGCTGATCTACAGCTGGCAACTAAAGAAACTGTAGTAAAAGTTGTCACCTTCTTATTGGAGCCTCGAGAAGCCACAGAGATGTCTATGGGCTCAATGTGGCCCTTCTTTGTTATGGGTGCTTGTCCGGGGAACACAACTTGATAGCACTGCTGCATTCTTCCCAACGTCCTATGAAAATAAGGTGACACTGTTTAATCTACACCAAAGATTAGATGATAGAGTACAGACTGAAAGGGAAACTGTTGAATTGAGTTGTAATTAAGCAGCAATCGCTGGGATTGAAAAAGGAAGCAAATGTGAAAGTACCAAAAACTGCAGTTCTGCTAATGGCCACTTGAGGCTGGCTCCAGAAGCGAGTCAATCCTCATAGACCCCCCATGATAAAATGTCCAGCTTTACAGTAGATATAAACATGTTTACAGCCTGGTACAAAAATTGTTTTGGTCTTTATAGCGAATTTTGATATTCAGGCTTACAGTTGTCAAGGTTTCCCACACATTTGAGCAGCATTTCTCTTTCTGTCTCTCATAGCAGCGCATACTCTGGGCACAGACAGAGCAGCAGAGCGCCAAGCGCAGTCAAAGTGAAACTTAACTGTTTGTTAATTCATATAGCTTTAGTGTTTGTCATTTTTCCAAACTCGATGGAACCGACTGTGTTCTCATGGAAACTAAGCATCCTGCTCTAATCCATCAATCTTATCAGATCAACTCTAATGGGATCTGACCACAAACTGATCGAGTGTCTTGAGTGTTATGATCAAAATGTTTGCTCCTCAGTTCTCCATCCTGCCACCCAAACTCAACAAACTGCTGCTGAGGAAAAAAGTAAAACTCATGAAGAGTTGCACCGTTGCGTTCATGGACACGCAAAAACATTTGGATTCAGAGAGGGGACAGAATGATCAGAAGACACACAAAAGTTTGCTGACTCACCTTAATCATACCAACCAACAACTACTGCCACACAGTCTACTCTTGTGGGAAACACTGAGATATGCACAATTAAGGACGCGGCCGCTCTGAGTGACATTATGTCTGTGGGGTGTCACTTGAGGCTGAATCCAACTGTCCATATTTCACAGCCCTTGCAGAATCACTGACTTTGTGGATGCACTCCCAGAAAGTCAAAGTTCAAAGTTAAATTATTGTCCATTAAACTGGAAACTGATTGGCATTAAACGGGAAACTGATTGGCAGCCAGGATACATACAAAAGACGTTAATACATCTGGACAACAGTAACAACAGGACACAGTTTAAAGAAGGGCTCTGAGGGAGGTTCCACAGCATCCAGGTCAAAAATACAAGTGAACAATGTGTGCAAATTATCAAGTTCAATAACGGTTAAACACTATCTACCATTTAAATTGTAAATGGCAGCTAGAATAAGGTAAACATACGTCTCAGTTCTCACACGACAACCTGAGGGTGACAGGGCAAATTCTGTCTCAAGAGGGTGATATTGGCACTTCAGAAGGGATGTAGCCTTCCTAAGACCTTGTTAGGTCTGTAAGTGGGGCTTAACTTCACCCTGAAACTTACTAGCAACTTTGATAAGGCTACTGAGCCTGTCAAATCAAATCAAGGACTATTGGACTTTTTTCACTGTGAAAACAGAATGGGTTTCAAAAAACAGTTTATCATCAAGAATGATGCCCAAGTATTTAAAGCCATCCACAAAATTCCAGATCCTTTAATGGTGCTCAGTGCAAGATTTGGAGAAGACTTTCTAAAACTGATAATCAAATCTTTCATTTTCGACACATTTAATTGGAAGAAGGACTCATCACACTGGCATACAAAATCATCGACCACAGGGCCGTGCTGATGCTCCTCCCCTTCAAGATGACTTGTGATCACAGAGTCATCTGCCAATCTGATAATGTGTCTGTTTGTATGCTTGCTGCAGCAGTGGTTAGTGTCTGAAGTAATGGAAAGAGACAGCAGCCTTGAGGAGAGCCAGTGGAGGAGCGCAGCTGATTAGAAAAGAAGTCATTTACCATCACACACTGGGACCTCTCAGTAAACACGTCCAGAATCCACCCAACTAGATCAAAATCCAAACCACAATCCATTCAATCTACATAGTGCCTCAAGCGCTGACTTCCTGAGAGTCCACTTGGGGTGCAGACTACAGGTCGACCGACAGTGGCTTTTTAAAGGCCAATATGAAAATGATAGTATGGAACAGGAAAAAGCAATTAAAAGCTCTTCTTTTTTACCTGGATCACGAAACACAAATGTTCCAAATGAGTTACCTGCTAAGCCATGCAATCTTTATTATATGGACAACTGCACTTGAGAAGGATTTGCTGGATCATAAAATAGAGATTTGTCTCCTGTTGCTGTAAAGAAAAAGATCACTGAGCCTTTCTTCACCTTGCTTCATATTGTCTTTGCTATCAACAATCTCTACTGGCCAAGCTGACCAACCACAGCTCTTGTGCTCTCCATGCAGTATCTCTGTTTTGGATCAACAGTACAGACCTTCTGCAACACTTAAGGCTGTACCTGACTCAGAGTTATGTCAGTCCAACTGAATTTGGCTGTTCAACACTAATATTCGACTACTGGTTCCTTTCTCTCCACATAGAGTTTGAACAGGGTTTGGACGGCTGTTCAGGGTGACATTTACATAATATAGTGAACACGCCAAGATAGCCCTCCAATCTAATGCATGCTAACTACGCTTACGATGGATGAGAAGTGTGAAACAACATTGTTTTGCCAACACTAGGTAGCAAATAAAAGCCAGAGACTGTATCACATTAAGTTGCTGTGAGCTGTAAACTCACCACTTCTAAGCAGAGGGCAGAAGGTAACATCTCGGAGCCTGACTGGGCAAAGCTTCTCTTCCTCTGTTTCACTCAGACTCACCCTGGGTCAAAAAATGAGTGCTCACTCTGCAGCTACATCTGGGCACAGATGAAAAAAAAGACTGCTCGACTTGAAGAATCTGTCGACTGAGGGATCTCCAACTGATGATTTAAAACTTCGACTTTCAGGGGGCAGTCCTGGCAACATCTTGAGCGTAACGTTTAAATGTGGCTTCAAAGCTGACACTATGGCTTTCCTAACAGAAGTGATTTCCACCTAACTTTGAATGTCTTTCATGGTGGTGGTCAATAAATCACAAGATTCAAATTCTTTGTAATGACCATTTCTGAAAGTGTTTGAAGAAACACTCACTACATAAACCTTAAAAAAAAACACCTGAGGTCAATTTTAATCATTATTGAACTCACCATAAAAACATAGATAATGATACCGGTAAATCTTTATAACATACTCAAGTTGAAAAAGCAATGCAGGGGAGGTCTTTCCTTTTTCCCGACCCATACCACAAAATCCCGCTGAGATACTGATTACTTCCACAGAAACTATTCTCTAATTAAAGTCTCTCTGTCTCAACACTGCACAAATTGGATTTCACTTAAGGCAAAAGAAACTAAAACATTATGGCTTTATCACTGTTTCTTTAATAGTGCATCTTGTTTTTCCCATAATATCAGGTAGAAACCAGATGTTGTGAACATTCAGAGCAGCTGTATCATTGTTGTCTACGGATCAGATGTGGATCACAGATTCTCATTAGGATGATTATGTCATCCTGCGTGCATTTTGCGATGATGATGCTGCTGCCTGTCTAACTCTGTCTGCACTACGGTGTCTTTACGTATATGGTATAATTGGTCAATTTATCTATTTTTTGGGAATCAATTGTCAATCTAAAAGTCCCCAGTATACATATATATACAGTATATTATATGTACTGTATTGTTCCCCCATTTGAGCCTGCCAATGGAGTGTATCAACAAAACTCATACATACAAAAGTTGTCCATCAAAACCAAAACCAAAACTAAATGATGCCTCTTTACAGCAGACAAGCTTGGCAAAGCTCACCATAATGCAGCTGGTGCATTGCTGCCGGCCCCTGGGGAGTCGACGGCCTGCAAGCCGGCTGGTTTGCTGGTGGATTTACAGAGTGGATCTTTTTGAATCTGATGAAGACGCAGCTGGCGTCGAAATGTTAGTCATTAATAAATTCATCACAAGTGATCTGAGTGCTCCAGTGCTTTTCTTGTGGATTCCTCCATGGGGTTATTTGGACATTGAAGTTATTGGAGGGTAATACTACCAACAACAGACTTTTTGGCTCGTTGCCAGGGGCTGGCAAGCTAATGACTACCAGGACTGTGTCTCCTCTACTTCAAAAGTGCAGCTGCAGGCTACCATTATGCTATGCTGTCTCTTTTTTGAAGTACTGTTAGATTTTTCTGTGAACTCACACAAGTATGTCGAGGTAGAAAGAGAAAAGTGTGAATTGTATAATGTTCAGGAAAACAGTGCTGTTTATTCTGGCAACATGGCGACATTTTTACCTAAACAAACACACATGTCGACATAACGGGCAATGTCAAGGTCAGCAAAAAGATCAAGGTCATGTCGATGGATCGGAAATAAGTCGGTAATGTGATTAACATAAAAGCCCTACTATAAAGACCAAAACTGTTTTTTGTACCAGGCTGTAAACATGTTTACCTCTGCTGTAAAGTTGGGCATATTCACATGTGAGTCTATAGGGACTGACTCGCTTTTGAAGCCAGCCTCAAGTGGCCATTCGAGGATCTTTCGTTTTTGGCACTTCAATGTTGGCTTCACTTTTCAGCCTTTACCCACTTGGGCTTAACTCATTAAATGGCAACATTTATATTTGACAGTGTACATGGTCTCTCAAAAGACCAACAAAATAAGAAAACAACATAAGTCTTTACCTGCTAAAGAGGTCATCCCACTTGAGAGACTCGACCTCCTGGTATTCCGATTTCTCCAACAAGCAGTCACACAGAGTAGGGTTTATGGTCACGTAACTGTTAAGGGGGGAGAAAAGCAATAAAGATAAGCACGTCATGCAGCGGAAATAGCCGCCTTGTTAAGCTATGCCAGTTGCATGGCAGATTTTATTTAGCTACTCACATCCCTCATTATCAATTTGTTACACATCAGAAGATGCACGATTTGCATGACCTCAAGAGACACATGTGACGTCTCTTCAGTTTACGAGTCACATTCTAAGCATTTTGGCTAAGTATAACAACATCACATGGTCTGGGGTCAGCTCTGTGTGTTCAGTTACCATTAAGGCTGCCCTTTCACCATGTCTGATTACAGAGGGGCTTCCTCATCTTATGTCAGCTGACTGGCACACAGACACCAATGTCCTCGTATGGAATGTGTGCATCTACTTACTTCTTATTATTTTCATCCACCAGTTCATTCGTCTTCACATACTCTGTGACAATATGTCTCACTTCAGCAGGCTGCAGTACTGTTCCTTTCCTGTAGGGGCATTAAAGCACATATAAATGCATGTGGGAGAAATGTGCCAGTGTATTTTCAACCTGAAGAGATTTTAAAGACTTACAATGCTACTAAATTAAAAAACAAAGAGAGCTGGCAAAAGTGACCACTTATATTAATCATTTTATGTATTACATGTTTATTTTTATTGGGAGAAGTACAGTCTCCCACGAATCAAAGCCAGACACACCATTGCATTTATAGATCATGCTAGTTTGCAATGCCTGACCCTACACTCACCTTATGAACAGAGCTATTTCAAAAAGGTCCCCTCCAGACATTGTTTAACAGTTTAAACAATCTGCCTGGAGTCAAACTTTAATTACCTTGTTAAAAATTCTTAAAATTGCATCTGTACTCCTCCCTGGTTTAAAATCCAAAACCTATAAATATGTAATATACTGGGCTGTAAAGTCCATTTTGAGTGCTCTGAGTTCTAAAAATGTTGATTAGTAATATAATACGCACATAATAGCAAATCAGCTGAACTGTGTTTACTAAGGCAGGAATGTACAACAGTGAAAAATATTTCATGGATGCAAAAAACACTGCAGCTGTCAGCTAAGATGCAAAGTGAGAGTGTAAATATATATATTTTTTTTTTTCGACGGCAGTTTACAAAGAGAAACATAGAATATGCGAAGTAAAATAATTTCCCCTGCTGTTCAATTTTCCCCCCCCTACAATTTTAGGAACTTTGTAGAACATTTTGGGAGAGATTAAAGTGTACATATAAACATCATATGTCAGACAGACTTTAGGAGGCATTAAAGAGAAAAAAAAGTAAAATAAAATAAAATAGAATAGAAGTCAATGAGGTTTGCTTGACTAAACATCATAAAGGTCCTTTTTACTGTACCTTCACAAAGTCAGGTCGTAAGGTTTTTACATATTTCACCCACTTTGCCGAGAAGTTGAGATGAAGATGAGGAGAAAAGGTTATCATTTCCATACCATAAATATCAGTTACAATATCTATCCACTCCTCGAACATAGGGGGTTCAGGAAGCAACCAGCGCCTATATTTATTTATGTTAGATTGTGTGTCTTGTGTCATGAGAAAATTGTCTTTTACCCTTGCAGGGAGTCAGGAGCTGCCAGGGATTCAGTGTTGCGCTCAAATAAACTTATGAAACATATAGATACTGATACAAAAGCTTACACTCTCCCTGCTCTGCAAATGTGGCTGCATCAAGAGGCCAGGTTAGGAAAACACCCACCCACCCACCCACACACCTCTTTTTTGCATCCAGAAAGAGAGGCTCCAGTCGAGCTGACACAGAATACAGAGTTGTGATCTCAGGTGGATGGTATGGAAGTTCTCCTTCCCCTCCATCCTGCGCCGGAGCGGTTTCAACATCAGTTTCCTCAGGAACTTTAAAGGAGCGCAGTCTATAGAGTGTTAATGTGAGAAAAAGCAAAAACAAAAGAGGTTGTCAGTCTCAATGTGGGCAGCCTACAGGCTTGACTCTCAACCAAGAATTTCTTTAAGTTAGGGCATGGCTTGGCTCACTCTTGATTTTTCCAGTCCACCTCCACAATGCTCTCCACGCCCTTGGTAAGTTCCTTCACTCGCACAAGGTTATGCTGCTTCTGCATGGCCTGTAGAAACTTTGACAGCTGTTGGAAAAAAAAAGCATCAAATAAATGCTTACAGATGGAGTTATAAATTAGTCTTTTAATATCAGTCAAATGTCACGTTGTTGACATCTAATATACCTTTTTATAGCTGGATTTTTTGATATCAAGTTGCTTTCCACTTGGGCTGAAATAATAAAAAATGTTTTCAGTACTGAAATTAACTCCTCCTCAACATGTCTTAAAAGATGAACTGTACTTTACCAGCAGGAGAACATGTGGTTGCGGAGAAATGTGCTGGTCAGCAGGGGGAGCTCCGACTTCTTAACCTTGCACTTCAGAGCATGGAGAAAACACTGCAACAGCAGGGCGTCCATTATCTCTGTAATATCAGGATTTGACCTGGGTCACATCCTCTCCTCTCTGAACAGGCTCCCATTTTGCCACATCAAAAAATCTTATCCTCCAGTTGTACTAACAGAACACCATGACTGATACAACTTGGCAAGCCTGCAGGCCTGCCCTGCAATCGTTTAGTAGTGAATGTCTCAGCTTAATTTGAATTGGGGATAATAGTACTTATGAAGCTTGTGAGTTATTAAAAGCCAATGCGGTGCAACTGCAGTGTTAATTACTTCAATGCCAAATCTACAACTTCAAATAGTTTGAAAATAACACTGTGACAACTATGATGGGTGGTGTGACTAAATCTGGTACCTTGGGGCAGTTTCTGGTCATCCTGGCTCCCCTCCTCTTCCTCATCACCCTTTTCACCCTTCTCTTCCTCCTGCTCAGCCACACTCAGGTCCTCAATAACAGAGCAGGCTTGATCTGTGACCGTTTCACTGGGACTCTGCTCCTCCTCCGCACACTTCTCTACCACCACCTCCTCCTCTTCCTCCTCCTCTTCCTCTATCTCATCACCCTAGTATTCCCCTCCGTTCACCCCTTCTCCTTTGCTCTCTGCATCTGGTAAAGAAGGAGGACCTGACTTGTCCCCAAAAGCCCTAAAAACAAGATAAAAAAACAAATGTGTAAAGTTTATGGCTGCACAGTGAATCCCGTAAAGTCATTTTGACCACATTTATTTAAACTTTAAGAGTGCCAGCTCTGCATGAGACTTTGTGTTTCTGAGGGCTACTAAGCATACAAAACAGAAAAACATGGGCTGATGATTTGATCAATTCTGTGTTCTCAATATTCAGACAGCTGTTCAACAAACTGGGAAATCTGTTTATTTGCTTTCTTGCTGAGAGTTGGATGAGAAGATTGCTACGAGACATGAGAGCAGTGTCAATCATCTTATCAACTGCTCGGCAAGAAAATTTCAAACTACCCTTTAAATACAATTTTTCAAAACAACGCATTATTGAAATCATTAGGATGATGGACGCTACTCACCAGAGATTATCCATGTACGCGTGGAGAACACAAACTCCTCTTCCTTTCATACCCGAACTCTGCATCTCTCCTGTGGACACTGCAGCAGTGCCGACTGCAACAGGAGCTCTGCAATCGACCAAGAGAACGGTGTCACACTGTAATCTGTGAGGTTATGGTCTTCCCAAATCTTTTATCATTAATTACCTGTTGTTCACTAATGTAACAGCACAGCAGTCGCCCTGTTTCACATCTGGGAGACCACTTGAAGGCACCATCACACCTGGCAGCATGAGATCTATGGGAAAAAACAGTGTTTGTTAATTAACATCAATATAAATGTACAACATTAAACATCTGCCTGGGGTTTGATCTCAGAAAAAGAAGTGTACCTGCCCCTCCGATCATCTTCTGAAGCACAGGAGGCCATGTCCTAAATGTTGGCAGGAGAGCAGGGTAACGCCAAAGCACATACACTGAAAACCATATTAAGACAATGCACGTTTAAAATCATTTACTAAAAGGAGCTTACAGTATTTCATCCACACAATCATCACGGTGTAGCTTTACCAGCTCATTACCTGTAGGATAAAGTCGTTTCTCCAGTTCAAAGAACAGTGGATTTTTGTGAAGAACATAGAGTGTCACGGCATCTCCCTTATGTGCGTAAATCTTCACTACATTCAGTTCCTCTTTGTTGGGGACCAGCTCAGACAGCTCGTCAGCAGAGAGTGAAGGAAAGGCCGCAGATAGGTCAGCTTTGAGCTTCCGCCTAAAGGTAGAAACAAAAGTCTTAGTCACAGGGTAATGTCATACTAGTAAAGACTACTGCTAGACATTTTACAGATGCAATATTTTGAATACTTTTCATCAAAATAATCTATTCGCACTGTTTCCTCTTTAACTGCACACAGCCTTCTGGTGTTTTCACTCATCCTAATAATGCCACAAACCATACTTTCCTCAGACTAGGTTTTCCAATACAGGGCCTGCTTATTAGTGACATATTTTCCTCTGACATTACAGCATTTTTAATGAGTTTGTCTAAGACTGGTGAATTGCTGGTAAATATTCTGTTAGTGTACTTAAGTTTGCAGGCATTACACAGCGTCAGGGTGATCCTAATCGACAGGGCTGAGCAATACAATCACCAGAGACTGCTATACATAACATTACACAAAAAACAAAGAATTCACACTGACATTGGCATTTTCAAATGGGTTAGGGTTAGGTTACACAAATGTAATTTTTTGGTTATTGTCTCTGACGGTGTGTCTTTTCAGAACATGATGGTAAATGCCAGTTATTGTCATTTGTGTGTTAGTGTGTGTTAGATAGTTTGCACCAGCAGTGAGCTGACTATCCCACTTCATACTTCATGACTCCAGCTGTCAGCTCTTCCCACTGTGTTTGTGAGTCTGATGTTCATCTATTACAAGTCAATAAAAGTTGACAGTGTTTAGAATTTCACTAGTCATCTGTGAAGCAAACGTTGTCACAGTGTATTAGATATAAATCTGGGGGAAATCTGACTGATGTTGGCTTTGCAGAGTTGTAAAATTCACAGATAATACAAAGATAATATAAACATAATACAAATAATATCCTGGCTAAATACTGATACATTGTCAGTTGATATTGAGGTGAATTATTAAGCTCTGTTCATGTGGTTTTATTATAAATATAATAGCTATCTACAACTAACTAACAGCTGCTGTACTGCTAGGGTCTGAACGTACTGTATAGTTGCATACACAAACTAGTTTTGCCTTGTTCCAGCAACGTCAGGTGAGGTCTAATATCTGGGCAGCCCTCTGACAAAGTTGATCTGCTTTAGTGGTTTTCAATAAACCACAAGTGTACATGATTAAATAGCAAACTGCAGCTAGGAGTAAATGGCGACAAGCACAGGTCTGGGCTGAGCTGACAGCAGCAGTGACTCACCTGTCTGATCCTTTGATTGCGGTGTTGGATTTGACACGAAACGGTTTCGCAAACATCTTTTCAGGAAATAAACAGCTTTTGTGGTGAATTCAGCATGTCCTCTACCGAGATAATGTCACTGTCTTTAATAAATCAGCACACACACTGTCAAACAACGGCTCTGCAGCAGCGAGATAACCCACTACGTTTCTTATTTTGGCTGTACAGTTATATGCTATTATTCCTCGCTGGGTATGGCGGTCCGTGGTATATTTATGTCCGACGTGAAACTGTACCGCGGGAACGTTGCGGGAGCGTTAGTTCCGCAGACCGAAAGAAACACATCAATGTATTATGAGAAAAAAATGTTTTTGTTTGACTTGAAAATGTGAAAAATCGTGAAGCTGTCATTAAGAGACATTTAACCACCAGGGAAGAAAGCAGCACGCAAAGACTCACGTTTCTTAACGTTCATCCATTTCCCAGTCTTTCAGATGGAGCATCCATATCATAGGTCCCCCTGTTTGTTGTGTGACTGGCTTCACAGTACCAATAAGTTTCTTTTCCATTTCTCCACTTTGTTTCACAATGACATGAGGGTGACTGCATCTGACTGACTGATATTAAATATCTTTTAATCAAAGGATGGCAGCTTACCTGCTCTTCCTTTGGTGCACTTCGGTAGCAGTGCACTAACCTGTCCAGGAGGGGCGCTGTTTCACTCATTTAAATGAAATGCCCCTGACACACCGAGCCGATGGTTGGCTGGCTACAAACAAACCAGAGCTGTGCCCACTCTTAGCTACATGCACTCAAACTTTTAAGGGGTATTTGTGTAAGTGTATGGTGGCATGTGTATAGTGGTATGTCTATTGTACTAGATGTATTGTGGTATATGTGTTGTCGTATGTATATTTTATTGTGCCTTTCATGTTTATAGTATATTGTGGTTGTAGGATGTTTTAAACTGGATATTTTTAGTAACATTTCAATATCTATAAACTCTTTGCGTTAAATGGCATTGTCCCTGTCAAATAAATAAGATAAGATAAGGTAATGGTGTGGTTGCCTGGCAACAATAAAAAAAAAGGCGCAGCAAGATTTTTGTTTTATGTTTATATTTGGTTGCTGCAATTTTATTTTCCCCATTGCTGTTTGATTATTGTGTTTAAGTTTTGTACAACTGTCCCTGTCTAGTTATGTACACTCTAAATAAAAGTTAAGAAAAAAGTGCTTTTTTTTGCTTTTTTTTTTTTTTTTTAACCAGTGGCTCAAATTTTTTAATAAAGGCAGAGTGGTGCGTCTTGCCTTTTGCAGCCTGTAAAAAGGTGCAGACTTCAGCAGACATCACTAATTCAATAACTCACAATTTATTGCAATGCGGATAAGATAAGATAAGATAAGATAAGAGAAGAGAAGAAACTGGGAAATTCTTATGTTAAACAGTATGTGGACATTAGAATATACAAATAAAAAATATATACAAAAATGAGTAGTACTAAAATGTAAAATGTACATGAAATATACAGGAATAAAATAAAATTAAGAATATCAAATTGCAGGAGTAAAAAGATCAAACTATATACACAACACAAGTCAGAAGTGAGGCAGAGGATGTGAGGTAGTGGGTTTTTGAACTGCTGAAAAAAAACACAAATGTGTAAAATAGTTATTGATAGTTAGGTCTATTAAAATGTTCAAACAGGCCGTGGAAAAGGCTAAAACAAATTGGCTGAAAAGCAACAAAAGGAGGTCTTCTAATGTGAGTAATGCCCAATTTATTGAGTTGTAGTCCTGTCCTTATTTACAAACATTTCTGTTTTTGAACACATGTAGCCTGTTGTATATATATATATATACAGTACAGGCCAAAAGTTTGGACACACCTTCTCATTCAATGCGTTTTCTTTATTTTCATGACTATTTACATTGTAGATTCTCACTGAAGGCATCAAAACTATGAATGAACACATGTGGAGTTATGTACTTAACAAAAAAAGGTGAAATAACTGAAAACATGTTTTATATTCTAGTTTCTTCAAAATAGCCACCCTTTGCTCTGATTACTGCTTTGCACACTCTTGGCATTCTCTCCATGAGCTTCAAGAGGTAGTCACCTGAAATGGTTTTCCAACAGTCTTGAAGGAGTTCCCAGAGGTGTTTAGCACTTGTTGGCCCCTTTGCCTTCACTCTGCGGTCCAGTTCACCCCAAACCATCTCGATTGGGTTCAGGTCCGGTGACTGTGGAGGCCAGGTCATCTGCCGCAGCACTCCATCACTCTCCTTCTTGGTCAAATAGCCCTTACACAGCCTGGAGGTGTGTTTGGGGTCATTGTCCTGTTGAAAAATAAATGATTGTCCAACTAAACGCAAACCGGATGGGATGGCATGTCGCTGCAGGATGCTGTGGTAGCCATGCTGGTTCAGTGTGCCTTCAATTTTGAATAAATCCCCAACAGTGTCACCAGCAAAACACCCCCACACCATCACACCTCCTCCTCCATGCTTCACAGTGGGAACCAGGCATGTGGAATCCATCCATTCACCTTTTCTGCGTCTCACAAAGACACGGCGGTTGGAACCAAAGATCTCAAATTTGGACTCATCAGACCAAAGCACAGATTTCCACTGGTCTAATGTCCATTCCTTGTGTTTCTTGGCCCAAACAAATCTCTTCTGCTTGTTGCCTCTCCTTAGCAGTGGTTTCCTAGCAGCTATTTGACCATGAAGGCCTGATTGGCGCAGTCTCCTCTTAACAGTTGTTCTAGAGATGGGTCTGCTGCTAGAACTCTGTGTGGCATTCATCTGGTCTCTGATCTGAGCTGCTGTTAACTTGCCATTTCTGAGGCTGGTGACTCGGATGAACTTATCCTCAGAAGCAGAGGTGACTCTTGGTCTTCCTTTCCTGGGTCGGTCCTCATGTGTGCCAGTTTCGTTGTAGCGCTTGATGGTTTTTGCGACTCCACTTGGGGACACATTTAAAGTTTTTGCAATTTTCCGGACTGACTGACCTTCATTTCTTAAAGTAATGATGGCCAATCGTTTTTCTTTAGTTAGCTGATTGGTTCTTGCCATAATATGAATTTTAACAGTTGTCCAATAGGGCTGTCGGCTGTGTATTAACCTGACTTCTGCACAACACAACTGATGGTCCCAACCCCATTGATAAAGCAAGAAATTCCACTAATTAACCCTGATAAGGCACACCTGTGAAGTGGAAACCATTTCAGGTGACTACCTCTTGAAGCTCATGGAGAGAATGCCAAGAGTGTGCAAAGCAGTAATCAGAGCAAAGGGTGGCTATTTTGAAGAAACTAGAATATAAAACATGTTTTCAGTTATTTCACCTTTTTTTGTTAAGTACATAACTCCACATGTGTTCATTCATAGTTTTGATGCCTGCAGTGAGAATCTACAATGTAAATAGTCATGAAAATAAAGAAAACGCATTGAATGAGAAGGTGTGTCCAAACTTTTGGCCTGTACTGTATATATATATATATAGACATGTATTATTATATATAATAATACATTTTTGTTTAATCACAAAAAAGGCTATACATGGGATTTATATCTTGTTATCTGCAGGGACAGATGAGCAGGCACTATTCATCAACTTATATGACATGTGAATATGACAGCAGCAATAGTTGAATGTTTCCACAGCAACGATTAAAACAGGTGAGGGCTGTCTATCAGCTGCTTGCAGTCTTATTTTTCAGAAAAACTTGCTGCCATGACAGTCCCGCCCCTAAGATAACCAGCAGCCAATCATAATTCAGGAGTGTGGGCAGTTAGGTGGAGGTGGCACTTAGGTTGCCCACTGCCCTCCGTTCCCCAGGCACGCGCCTGTCGGACCGTTACAGAGGGATGCTGCTTTAACTTCCACCGTTTCAGTCCGGAAGTTTGGTAACTTGTCGACTGATAAGTGTAATTTTATTTACTAAGTTGTACCACACGCTTTGAACTCCGGCCCGGGCCACCTTATTAAACTGTGGTAGTCAGTCAAGACTCAGTCGAAGGTTGACTTCCCGGACAGTCACCAGACAGAGTGAGTGCTGTCTAGCTGCCCCCGGCTAGCGGTGGGCTAATATCACACAAGGACAACATGAGCTAACTTTTGGTGTTAGCAGCTAGCTAAGAAAGTTAAGCAGTGAGAAGAGGAGAAACGCACCTGTCGGACGGTTGCTATCACTCATGTGCCCCCGGTAGTTAACATGTCGAGTCAGCCGGCTTTCCCGATCCAACAGCAGCCAAACCTGAACTCCGCTCCTTTCCCACAGTGTCTTGTGAAACCTTTTAACAAATCTCTGCAAATCAAGAGGAATGTCATAACAGACGATTACAGTGTCACAAGTCAGGTGCTCGGGATGGGGATAAATGGCAGAGTGTTGGAGGTATTCCACAAAGAGAGTGGAGAAAAGTATGCACTGAAGGTAATCACACTGTTATCTTAATCTTTCACTAAATTATATAACAATTTAGATACGAGATAAACATGTCAAATTGATATTGAGAGGAGAGTGGATGCTTTCTGTGCTCGAGATTTTACAACAAAATACAAACACATTTTTATTGTGCCCCTTAAATACAAATGTGAAGTCATTGGCCCAGTGCAATGATGTGGAGTTTAAAACCTGCGCCACTATAATTTGATATTTGCTAGTAAAGACAGCAGAGCATGAACTTTTAAACTGTAGCATTGTCCAGTTATGGTGATACATATGTGATACTGGTTTGGATATGGAGTAAATCATGTTTGGCTTCATTGCAGATGGATGTTTGTCTATGTACGTAACTCTCAAAGTGTGTCAGAGGTGGTCAGCACCTGGCAAGTGCATTGGCCATTGCACAATCCATGATGACCACAAATTATTACTGGTCTGTGGAATGTGGTTTAAAAAATGTTGATGATGTGTGCATTGATGTCTTTCCTTCTGGGTGTAAATATTGCATACAGGCAGCACCTTAATGCAGAGATGAGGCTGCTTTTAAGTCATCAGCATTAAAAAGGGGAAAATCCAGCAGTTTGGAATATTTTATACAGATTTGGAGTAGTAAAACAGCGTTGCGCATTTGATTAATTTAATACACCTTTCCTCAGTAAAACAACATTTCCATTAGTTCACAGTGCTGTTCCCCCAGGTCCTGTTTTGCTTCAGTTACTTGTTATCTACATTTCCTTGAATAAATAAATACTTGCGTAGAAGCCTCTGAAGCTTGTTTTTTAATGTGATGTGTGCTGTAAACAGGATCAAAGCCTGGTTAAAGATGACTGTTTTGCAACGAGTTTGTCTGTCCTTCACCACATTCTCAGAATTCAGTCAAAGAAAGTGCAGTCAAGGCTCAGCTCAGTGTGTATCAGGCTGAGCAAGCTGAAAGTTAACAGAGGCTTCTCTGTTATCTTTGATTTTTTTTTTTTTTTTTTTTTTTTTAGAAAATCTGCTTCTCATACACAGTTTCCTCTTTCCTGTCCACAAGACCGTATGTGTCACCCTTTTAATATTAAATTCAGCCAGTAGGGAGATATAAGGATGTGTAACCACTGAATTCAACTGGATCAGTTAGTCACAGCTAAAGCATGAGTGATGCATATCCAGCTAGAGCGTACCTGTTGTGTTTGTTGCATTTGCAGTGACAGGCAACATTTAGCGTTAGAACAGAGCACTGCCGGAGTTTAAGAGGTTGGGTCTCTGTTGGCATTAGATGTGAGTTATTTTTTTCCTCATGGGAACCTATAATTTTAGGGGTTCGTGCACAACTGACGGCTTCGTCGGGTTCTAATTTCTGTTCCACGGTTTGTGAATTATATACGGCCTCAGGCCTGTTGAGGTGTTTTGAAGGAGGGGTGTTGACTTTTCCTATCCACATGCTGTCAGCCAGAAAGAGAGAGGGGGAACATGCCTGTGTCTAAAAGTAGCCTCATGCGAGAGGCCAGAGATGACTAAGAGATTATGTCGTCTGGTTGGGGAACAGCAGGACGAGGTGTCATGCAGATAGCACACGCTCAGCTTACATTACGCAGTGAGGGAGTTTTGAGATGGGTAAACAAAATGGAGAAGGTAGAAAATGATTTAAACCGACCTGTGTTTGTTCCACACAAGTATGAGATTCTTATTATTTGCAGTGCTGCATATTTGTGTAAACTTCAGTTGCTATTTTTTTTGATGAAAAGCAAATGTCCCTTCCCACATTTTTGTTTGTGTAGACTCCTAATTTGCATTTGTCAGACATGATTTCTTGCTTGAGACCCACCCAGTCGGTGGGTTCAGTGCAGTGTCTTTACTGTGGTGGAATGTAATGAGCTACATTTACTCAAGTAATTTACTCAAGTACAAATTGGAGGTACTTTATTCGAGCATTTCCATTTTGTACACTACACTTCTGCTCTACTTAATCTCTGAAACAAATACTGTACTTTTTACTCCACCACATTTGTGTAAATAAAACTGACAGCTTTAGTTACTTTTCTTTGAGATTACAACTCTTCATACCCTCCCTGTTCAGTGAAAATAAAAACAAATTAGTTAGGTTCTTTTCTCCTAAACTGTAGGATCAAGTGTTCTTTTATGTGTTTAGAAAATTCTCCCACTTCTTAAGCAAAAAAAGCCCCATTTAAACCCCTCTTGGATCAACTGGAAAATGCATCATCACAAAGCTGAAAACACGGCTGTTTTTCTGAGCTCATAAAAACTTGACTTTTTAGAGATAGACGGTTCTCACAGGGCAGCGATGCTACAAACATATGATTTAAAAGAATATGATGCAGTGCTTTAGATTAAACTACCCAACAGTATATAAAGTAGTAAAAAATAGTATAACCTTTACAACATCTTCAGCAGTAAAAAGCGACATAGGGAAGCAGCATATTTAAAGCATATATATAAAGTAAACGTTGACAGGGAGCATTTTACTGCACAATGAGTTCTCTGACTTTTGATGCATACATTTTGTTATAATACCTACATCCTTTTACTTTAGTATGTTTTTTTGTTGGATGTTTACTTTTAGTGGAGTATTTTCACAGTGTAGTATAAGTACTTTTACTTAAGTAAAGGATCTGAGTACTTCTTCCATCACTGACTGAGTATAACTGAATGTGGACACACAAGTAGTGTGACAGTGTGGACAGCATACATATGTACATTTACATCCAGTTACAGATGACTCTGTAATGTATTTGAACATCAGTTAACCACCATCTTTCACACAGCCATGGCTCTGACATTGCTGAGGTTTTGTAAAGGCAGTGCATCTCAGAAAACGGGTTAACATTTTATTATGACATACAGTGTGTGAGACAGCCTTATCCGGTTCAAAAAGTGCACCATAGTAAATCATAATTTGAGGTTCTCTGAAGGAGTCTGATATAGAAGACTGTAAAACTGACATCCCTGAGGTTGCAGCAGATTTATGTGGTGATGAGTGCTATCAAAAACTCAGCAGGCAGTTATTTTTTTTTTTTTTTTGCGATATGAGTAAATACATGTTGCAGCAGTATGAATAATTTTCAGATTGTTCTGCATCCCAAATCATAAAAGTTGAATCCCATCTTTCATTACATATGGGTAATTACAGCAGTTGGAAATCTTTCCAAATAAATCAATGAGCATGAGCTTGAATGAAAAGTAGGTTATGAAATGTAAAGATGAAATGTGTATCTTACAAATGGAAGAGATTTGTTCAGCCCCCTACATAGCATAAATACTCTTCTTACAATGAATTGCCAGAACCAAATGTGCACTCTCTAATAGACTACACTGCCTTCTGTGGTGGTAATGACTGGCACGGAGCTGATGTGCAATCAGAGCTGCAAGTAATGATTATTGTCATTAGTGATTAGTCTGCAGATTATTTCTTGGATTAATCGTTTTTTCTATAAAATGTCAGAATATGGTGAAAAATGTCTGTTATCATTTCCTACAGGCCATGGTGACACCTTTGAATGCCTTATTTTGTAGTTTACTGTCATGTATGCCAAAGAAAGATTAAATCCCACATTTTAGAAGCTGGAGGCAGCAAATGTTTAGCAGTCTTTATCAAAATAGTTGCCAATAATTTTCTGTCAGTCAATTAATATACAAAGCAGCTCTATTTGCAACGGAAGTAAGCAGTGGCGGCCCCAGAGATTTCTTTTTTGCGGTGGTCAGATGGGGCTACTGAATAACATGGGATGGCATACCAAAACCAAAATTTGATGAATGGATTTCAGGAATTCACTTATGCTATTGAAGTATATTGGCTTGTTGAAAGCTATGTCAGTATGAGAGTTAGGGAATCACATACTAATATATTTTGATTTCTTATTTTACAGTTAATGATACTAATCATCTGACGTGCATAGACTAATTCCCGTACTGTTAACATTTTGAGTACCACAACAATCCTGTTTTAATGTGCTATGTGTCTATACATACTCGGCACAGTGTTGGGCAAGCTGCTTGGAAAATGTGGTGAACTAAGCTTCCAGTTACTCTACATTAAAATGAAGTTTTGCAACATTGAAGCTATCCCCAGAGAAATGTTGCAAGCTAAGCTACGAGAAAATGGAAAAGTAGCTTGCTACTTGCAAAGCTACTTTTATTTATTTTTTGTCAAATCAGAGTTATCTCATTGACATCAGTATGTCACTGTCTCTCCCCTCTCTTCTTTCTTAATACTGTTCTTAGTCTCTCAGCTCTTTTCCAGGACCTTGTTGTGGTTTATTTCTCCAGTGTCCACTGAAAATCCACTTAAGATATACAGTCTGTGGACAAGACACTTCGGAGACACGTCAAGAAGTTCATTGTAGCCAGTCAGAGGCAGAGTAGGGCAGGTCTTTCCAAATACCAAAAGCAACAAGCCGAATAAACTGTAGGATTAGTATGTGAAGTCATGAGGAAGTGTTTCCCTTATCTACATGCCTCAGTGTGGCGCTGGCGTCAGTCGCATTACTCACCCTCAATTTTGTTATCGATTAGCAATTGTATCAGGGGGCCATGCCCACCCACCCAGGGGCACCACCGGAGGCAAGGCTTTCCTGCTGTAAAATTTATGTTTGTAGGTAAAAAGCCTGTGCTCCATAATTGCTTGTAAAACATTTACCCAGCATGGTGTTTAATTGTGCTGAATGCCGACAAAACATTATACTGTCAAACTGAGACCGAGTTTACATGCCTGCATTTGAAACTAAAAATCTCATCATGCTTAATCTGATTTTTTCACTCCATTGCCGTGTGTGTTACAGATGCTGCAGGATTGCCCAGAGGCCAGGAGAGAGGTAGAGCTACACTGGAGGGTGTCACCTTGCCCCCATATTGTACCCATCATAGATGTTTATGAGAATCTCTACCATGGCAGGACATGCCTCCTCATCCTGATGGAGTGGTGTGTATTTCAGCACGCACGCACGCACGCACGCACGCGCAATTAGACCCAATAATGTTTATGTTTGATCTTAAAAAAGTGGTCTCCTATGCTGACAGAACTATCCTTCTTTTGGAAATTGTTCATCTTTGAAGTGCTTCTAGGAGTTGTGGCTTGTATTAGTTGCTTTGTGTGCTCGTGGAGCTGCTTTTGGTAATGCATACCAACTGAGGTGAGTAGTTTCCAGAACACTTGAGGCCAGAAAGTAATAAAAAGCAGGCAGACGCTGCTTTGTCTAAGGCCGGCGTCGACCTGATCCACAGCCATCTCATGGGCTACAAAAGAATTAAAAAAAAAAAAAAAAAAGTTCTCAGAGCTAGATAGGATATGATTAATGCATTGTCATTATAATCCTTTATTGAACAATAACAGTGACTAATGATGAGTGAGTGTTTAGTGGTTGCAAGTGTTGAATGTTTCCAGCTGTTTTAAATTTACATCAAAAGCTTTTCACCAAAAGTTTCATCGTGTTGAAGACATTTTAGCCACATGCCGGAGCAGGTTTATCAGGATTCATAGGATATTTTGTACTGATAATAATTAACAGGAAATACTATATGAACAGGCATCCCCTCACCCTGAATCTGAAATAACTAAAAACCCTGAAATAACTAAAAACATGTTTTATATTCTAGTTTCTTCAAAATAGCCACCCTTTGCTCTGATTACTGCTTTGCACACTCTTGGCATTCTCTCGATGAGCTTCAAGAGGTAGTCACCTGAAATGGTTTCCACTTCACAGGTGTGCCTTATCAGGGTTAATTAGTGGAATTTCTTGCTTTATCAATGGGGTTGGGACCATCAGTTGTGTTGTGCAGAAGTCAGGTTAATACACAGCCGACAGCCCTATTGGACAACTGTTAAAATTCATATTATGGCAAGAACCAATCAGCTAACTAAAGAAAAACGACTGGCCATCATTACTTTAAGAAATGAAGGTCAGTCAGTCCGGAAAATTGCAAAAACTTTAAATGTGTCCCCAAGTGGAGTCGCAAAAACCATCAAGCGCTACAACGAAACTGGCACACATGAGGACCGACCCAGGAAAGGAAGACCAAGAGTCACCTCTGCTTCTGAGGATAAGTTCATCCGAGTCACCAGCCTCAGAAATGGCAAGTTAACAGCAGCTCAGATCAGAGACCAGATGAATGCCACACAGAGTTCTAGCAGCAGACCCATCTCTAGAACAACTGTTAAGAGGAGACTGCGCCAATCAGGCCTTCATGGTCAAATAGCTGCTAGGAAACCACTGCTAAGGAGAGGCAACAAGCAGAAGAGATTTGTTTGGGCCAAGAAACACAAGGAATGGACATTAGACCAGTGGAAATCTGTGCTTTGGTCTGATGAGTCCAAATTTGAGATCTTTGGTTCCAACCGCCGTGTCTTTGTGAGACGCAGAAAAGGTGAACGGATGGATTCCACATGCCTGGTTCCCACTGTGAAGCATGGAGGAGGAGGTGTGATGGTGTGGGGGTGTTTTGCTGGTGACACCGTTGGGGATTTATTCAAAATTGAAGGCACACTGAACCAGCATGGCTACCACAGCATCCTGCAGCGACATGCCATCCCATCCGGTTTGCGTTTAGTTGGACGATCATTTATTTTTCAACAGGACAATGACCCCAAACACACCTCCAGGCTGTGTAAGGGCTATTTGACCAAGAAGGAGAGTGATGGAGTGCTGCGGCAGATGACCTGGCCTCCACAGTCACAGGACCTGAACCCAATCGAGATGGTTTGGGGTGAGCTGGACCACAGAGTGAAGGCAAAGGGGCCAACAAGTGCTAAACACCTCTGGGAACTCCTTCAAGACTGTTGGAAAACCATTTCAGGTGACTACCTCTTGAAGCTCATGGAGAGAATGCCAAGAGTGTGCAAAGCAATAATCAGAGCAAAGGGTGGCTATTTTGAAGAAACTAGAATATAAAACATGTTTTCAGTTATTTCACCTTTTTTTGTTAAGTACATAACTCCACATGTGTTCATTCATAGTTTTGATGCCTTCAGTGAGAATCTACAATGTAAATAGTCATGAAAATAAAGAAAACGCATTGAATGAGAAGGTGTGTCCAAACTTTTGGCCTGTACTGTATCTTTCATCTTACCTGTAGTGCTATTTAACAGTCTAGAATGTTTTTGGTGTGAGTTATAGCACAGAGTGACCCCAGAACTGCTCACAACAAGGTCTGGGGATTATCTTGAGTAACTGATTCATGATTTTTGGAAAGAGTCATTGCAGTTGAGGTTTTCAGACAGGCAGACATTTCTACAGCCGACATCTTCATCACGCGGTAACTCACACTAAAACAATTTTGAGGGAACTGCCTCTTTAAATATGCAGCTTACACAACCATTATTGGACTTATAACAAAAAACAACAAAGACTAACGCTGTGCGCAGGTCACCCAAGCAGCCATTTAGAGCCTCGATAACAACCTCCAACTCAACACATCTACAACACAAGAACTATAATCTATAATGCAATGAATTTTAAATGTTAAAATAGCAAATAAATAAGATTAAGATTAACTTATCATAGACTTTAGGCACAGCCCCTTCAACAAAACTCCCATGCACTTCTTAGGAGAACCTATAACCATCTCTGACTCTTTTAAATTCCTTGGCTCGCACATCGGCAACACTGAAATGGAGCATTAATACAGACCACATTTCCCAAAAAAGACTGATTTTCCTAAGACAGCTCTAAAAATTCAAAGTCAAACAAATCCTCCTTCACAGCCATGACTGAGAGCCTACTTACCTCATCTGTAACAGTTTGGTACGGCATCACGGACTCTTACACAGGCAAAAAGAAATGCAGCAATGTCAATCAATTATCCAAGATTATGGGCTCCCCATCTCTTCAGATAAATCCCGATGTCACAAACACACAAACTAGCAAAAACATCATCTCTGACAACTCTAACAACCCCTTTGAAATGTTTTCCCAGTCAAGTACCCCCTGATCAGGCAAGTGAACATGTTATGACAGCTGACACTTTAAGGGAGTTAATAAATGCATTGAAAATAAGAATATTCAATAGAAAATGTGTTCATCAAACTTCCATACATTTGTCACATTTAATTATTTTAGTATGATTATTTTAGGAATTATTCATGACTGATATTTTTAAAAAATAATGTTTGAAATATTTCTTGTACTCCCTGCAGTAATCAAAATTGCAAAATTGCCCCCTGCTTTTTTCACTCATTTGCAAGTTAGTAACATGGAGCTCTTGGCAGGCCTCGTGCTTCTGCTGCCAGACTTGTAACTGTCTCGGGCAAAGCACAAGAAATGATTATTTGTTTTCCATTGAGGAGAAAAATTATGAAACTTGACAGACACTTATTATACTGTACTTCTGTCCATTCTTCTGTTTTTCCTTTCAGCATGGATGGGGGTGAATTATTCAGCCATATCCAAGACAGAGGGAATCATGCATTCACAGAAAGAGGTAAAGGGATTATTATTTCTCAAGCAAGTTAAAGTTACATTCCTGTATTCCTGTAAATGTATTGATTCATTTATTGGTTAACATTTAGGCCTAAAAAGTAAACTTAGATGTGTTTAGTTTGTGTATGGTTTTTAATTAATTTAATAAAGGTCTATAAATAAGGACCTCAACCTGCGTGCCATTCTTTGTAAATCATGGCATGTCCTTTCATTGATAAGGGGATGAGTGAGGGAATTGTCATAGTACGCAGGGCATTTCAAAAAGACGTACATTCAGGGAAAGGTCAGACCCATTGGCCTACCCTGACGACTACCTATGTGAGTGATGCAGGTTCTTGAGAGAAGGGAGTGCATATAGTTGTAAATTATTCAGGCCATACTGTGTGAATAGCACGTCGCAGTAAAGCATTCACAGTCCCGCAGACTGTGTACATTGCACTTTGCTTTTTTGCCAGTAGCACAGTTCTGTACACAGTTGGAGATGCAGAGCATATTGGGAAAGCATCAGTTATCCGCTCTGGATGTGTAGTATACCTGTTTTTAAAAAGACTGCTCAGTGTGTTCATCACCTCCCCTGGCTACAGAGGAATTCACACCATTAAAGAGACCTTTTATGGAAGTGAAGGTAAGTTCAAGCATTAATTGTATGAAATGTTTTTAATGTTAATGTTAGAGGTGACAATTTGGAGGCTAACCTCTTTTACTTCACTTTTGTAGATTTCCCAAACCTTATCAGCGCTCTGGACTGAACCCACATACTTAAAAAGCATTCATCTGGTCTGCGAGAGGCAGACTTCAACAACAGGAAATCATTGCACAGTATCAGTGTGCAGGTATGGTCCCTTTTGTTTAGATAATGGTCTTGTAGGCTACTACTGTAGAATAGATTGGAGTACAAATTACAGTGATCTAAAAATGCTTCCACAGAAAAGGCCTAATTTAACAGAGTTTTCTCCACCATCTGAAATGTAGTTACGTACATCCCTCTTTTTAGACATGTGGGCCTGATCACTGGTAACCATAACAAGGCCAACCTGAAATAAGTAGATGACCTGCCCCACTGGTGTCAGGACAACAATATTATCTTGACCATTAGCAAGATTAAGAAGATGATAGTGGACTTTGGGAAGAAGTTGGGAAAGAACTATGTCTCCCATAATATCAGTGGGTCCTTGGTGGAGAGAGTGGACAGCTTCAAGTACCTTGGTTTCCACATGGCAGAGGGCCTGACCTGGGCAGTACATACTAAAGGCTTTTGCACACTGAGTCCGTTTTTTTCGTCCGAAATTGTTGCTTGTCTAAAAACACATAAAACATCACGTTGTGTCAGTCATGTTTGCAGACTGAGTCCCAAACTTCCGCCTGTTTGGAACAGGTTCGATTTACTGCGTTTTAGTTTTTCGCATCCGTCAGAAGCCTTTAGAGACGTTTGACCAAGAATCAGTGAATAAAACTTGGCGGTGGGACTCAGCCGTGACAAGACAGAGGAAGGGGCTGCACAGAATCATTTCATAACTCAGACAGCTACTTTCAGTAGGTCAGATAGTAATATTCAAGTGGATGATGACGAAGAGGGGGATGTGGACCGCACACAGAATGTGGAGACAGATAAGAAGGACAGCTCTGCCCCTTCATGCAGCTGTGGTGCCAAATGAAAGATGGGGAGGGTGCCAGATCGGTAACTCCTATGGAGAGAGGCAAAGGAAGGAATGTGTCTTTTAATTTTGTCACGTATTGCGATTTTCGTACCGAATAGAACAATAAAACGCATGGGACTCAGTGTGCAAGGATGCTTGAGATAATTCTAGGTGTCCCCTCATATACTGAGGAATTTCTACTCCTGCACCATTGAGATTGTCTTAACAGGAAACATCACTGCTTGGTACAGAAATTGTACCAAACAGGACCACAAGGCCCTGCAAAAAGTGGTACATTATGATTTGGCTGAATACACTATAGATGTGGCTTTACCACTTTACTTGATCTTTACACCAGGTGCTACAAAGATAAGGCCAGGAGGATCATTAAAGATCCCAGTCACCCTGATTACAGCCTTTTCTCCCTGCTAAGGTTGAGAAGAAGGTATGGGATACACCTTATCAGTGCTGAGAGGCTCAGGAAGAGCTTCCACCCTCATGCCGCAAGGCTCCTAAATGAAAACCCTGTCTATAACCGCTCAATCTTATACTCATTATTACAGTCTTTTTAATGCACAAATTGAAGAAACAGACAGGATTAAATCGCTGGAATTAGATTTATTTGATTTCATGGGACAAATAAATAAATTGATTGTTTGTTATTATGCTGAGTATTCCAGTACAATGACCTACACCTTCCATTCTTTCAGATGGTCTCTGATGTAAAACGTATCAACACTAACATTATGAAGATAAGGAACATGCCTCCCTGTCTGTGTTATCTTATGACTCCCCAACAGACACCCCGGACAGTGCAACTGCAACCTTGTTCACGCACTCACAAGGGAGTGACTCCACAAAGGGCATGTGACATGACCGTTACATGTGTTGTTCTTCTTACCATCGCTTGCCTGAGGAGTGACAGACCAGTTGAAGGATTGTTGTGGAGGAGGACTGGGGCTATGAGGCTATCTCAAATGACAATAAAATAGACGGAGTTATAAGAAACATATGTGTGAATAATTATTTTTTACATTCCAATTCTTATGTTAAGGCTTTACTTAATCTGTTTTATGTAGCTTTCATTTTTTTCTTTTCACTTTTATCTCAATTTCATTTAATGAAAACAAGACACACATTATTTAATTTTATTCATATTTCAAGTGGAAGTTGCCTGTTGGAGGATAAGGCATATGATTAAATGGATTCACAAAAAAAAAGGTTACGTGTCATTTTCTTGAATATGGCACCAGTTGTTGGATTTCCAGTTCCACCTTTCACATCTTAAGCTTTTTGTGTTGAATGTCTACAACCACTGCCTCCATTTGTTTCAGGGGACAGTACTTGTAAACACTTTAATGTCTTCTGCATTTTGTAGGAACAGAAAATGTGTTATTTGGAATGCTCTTGTCATTGTATTGTTTTTATTACTGAGTGGACAGTTCCCCAAAAATACATATTTTTCCTCTGACCTGTAGCGCTACGTAACAACCTAGATTGTGTTGGTGTGAGTTATTGAGTGTTGGAGATTCTGATTGTGGAGATGTCTGCCCATTCGTCAATATAATGGAACTAGATGTCATTCGGCTGGAAAAGTGCCTGAAAAGAAGAGAGAAAAACACATTTAAAAAATCTCTCTCTCCAGAAATCATGACACAGGTACTCCAGATAATCCACAGACCTTGTTGTGAGCCGTTTAGGAACAGTTTCCTTTTGACTGAACTACACCTGCCAACTGTATCACCACACAGAAGGAAGCATGTAGCACAGAACATTTTCAGTTTATGCTTCGATGAAAAGTTTCAGTCGTCTTTGAGACCCTCTGCATTTTTTATGCTACAAGTCTATTTCTGTTGCATTTATTGAAGCATAATCTGCACAAACAGCTGTTTACAATCACACCAGTATCCTGCTATATATGTGTTTTTGATATGTTAACCCTATTTGCATTGATTGATCAGCTCCATGTCTGTGAGCAGCAGATGACTGTCATTCGCTACAGTGGGCTGGGAAATAAACGCAATGAAGCAATAAATAAAAAACACTGTTGATTTCTTCCTGTGGCGCTGGCATGAAAGATAGTTAGGCTCCGTAAATGTCTGCTGTCAGCTGTCGGGACTGGTGAAGGCAGTTTGGTCGGCCCACAGATGTATAATGGGCCTGTCTCTGTCCTCTATGCTTTCTAGGAGCTGCTGCTGAAAGACAGCATAGAGACACATAATGCAGGCCGACATCGGTGGTTTTAAAACTACTTTCTCCATGGTGGCAATTTAACACTGCCCACTACATTGCATGACAAAATATGTCATCCGCAACATAACAAAATTTTCAAGGTGCACAACATTAAAGGAAATTGTCCCGTGATGCTTTTTTGCTGTTGTGCACCCAACCAGAAATCAGGTTTAATGGCATCCTCCTTTGCTGCGCTGTAACATTAGATAGCTCAGTAGTGCTAGGTGAGCTAGCTGTAGATGCACGCTTCCTTTCTTTCTCCTGAATGTATTGTGCCCAAGATTTAATTAGGTCATATTAGAATACTTTATTACATTTATCTTAGTTGCTTCTTACACATTCAGTCGATCAGCAATTTTTTGCCAGCCTTTTGTTCATGGCAGCTGTGACACATGAACATCACTGCTTTCGTTACTGCTGCTATTTGTCATGATGTATCAATATGATCCACTGTTGACATCTTGGGCTGCTTAATATAATGATCTTCACTACTTGAACCTGTGTCAAATTACTCTGATTGCATGGACTTGGCATTTATGGAACCACTTTGCCCCAGACTGATTTGTTAAGTTAATTCAAGTCAGGCATTGGACCCCACTTTTCTTGGCACGCTTCATGGAACGGGCTGCTGGTTGATTTGGTGCACCTCTGTTTAAGATTGATAACAGCAAGTGTGGTTCAATAGTGCAGGCCACAGATTTCTGGGGGCAGTAAACACACAGAGAGGAGCTATATTTTCCAACTGGTGTATCTGTTTACAGTGCATCCAGACAAACATATGCTGTTTTGATAAAGAAGCAGATCAGTAATCAGTGTGAGTAGTTTTCCACACACCAACAAAGCAAAGAGTTGGTTACTTTGCTGAGGAGTTAGAAGTCTGCAGCCTGTGTAGCTCACTGTGGCTGCACCGTCTTGTTCCATTATCTCCTTGCAATATGGTAGAAATTGATCTGCTGACAAAAAAATGCCCACAGTGACCATTGTCTTGTTTTATAGTCGCAGTTGTTCTATGTGACTGCTTCACATATAAAGTCATCTGTGTTTCGCCAGTTGAACGCTTTTAATTTGAAGCAGTGGCACTAAGGAATGTTTGGTAAATTCACATTGTTGTAGGAGAGTGAAAAATAAATAGTGAAGCTGTTAGTCAGTGAGGTTTGAGACTATCCCAGCTGACATTGGGAGAGAGGCAGGCTACATCCTGGACAGTTCACCAGACTATCACAGGGTTGACACATACAGTACATAGAGACAGACAACCATTCACGCTCACATTCACACCTATGGACAATTTAGAGTCACCAATTAACCTGCATGTCTTTAGACTGTGGGAGGAAGCTGGTGAACCCACAAAGAACCTTTGCTGACACGGAGAGAACAAGCACACTCCACGAAAAAGATCCCCAGCTGGCTGGCGGATTCAAACCCAGAACTCTCTTGCTATGAGGCGACAGGGCTTGTTTGTTCATGGTTAGTGATTAGTAGGGGTGGGGAAAAGTAATTGATACAGAATAGTATTGTGATTTCTTAGTGTGGCAATAGGGCATCATCACACAGTGTCAAGTATCGATTTTTTAATCGATCAAATACAAATTAAACTTTAGGTAGCCTACTAGAATAACAATCAATTGCTTTTTCAGTCCGCTAGATACATTTTACCGCTGCAAAAAAAATGGCTGAAGTGAGATGAACAGACTGAAAACTTTATTTTATTAGTTAAAACAGATGAATTTTCCTTTGGGGACATAATTAACAGTTGAAAAAAGGTAATAAATCGCAATATATTTTACCGCACTACTCAGCATATCACAACATATTTAAAATCACAATAATATTGTATAGTGGATCCTTTGGTGATTCCCTAGTGATTGGTTTGTAAACTGTCTACAAATATTATTTGGATGGCTGTTAAAAAGTTGCAGGTGGTGATTATAATACCTGGTTAAATGGGTGGGAGGGTGGTACAGTGGTCAGCATTGTTGCCTCATAGCAAGAGGGTTCCTGGTTTGAACCCCGAGTGGGGGAGCCCTTCTGTGCGGAGTCTGCATGTTCTTCCTGTGTCAGCGTGGGTGTTCTTCAGGTACTCTAGCTTCCTCCTCAAAAACATGCAGCTTGGGTTAACTGGTGACTCTAAATTGTCCGTAGGTGTGAATGTGAGTGTGAATGGTTGTCTGTCTCTATGTGTCAGCCCTGTGATAGTCTGGTGACCTGTCCAGGGTGTACCCCCCCTCCTGCCCAGTGTCAGCTGGGATAGGCTCCAGCCCCCTGCGACCCCTAACAGGATAATGAATGAATGTATGAATGTATGAATGAATGAATGAATGAATGAATGAATACTGTGTAGTGCATCTATAAACATTGCAACATTGTAATGGCCACCTAATTAATGTTAATAGATGCACTCCTTGTATTTATTGACCATTTAATTAGGCATTATAATCAGCAGTTGCCACTTTTAGCTATCCAAATAATGTTTATAAGTGGTTTGCAAACCAATTATTAACCATCAACAAATTATATATCTGTGCATGTGTGCAGCAATACACTATTAAAATAGCATAAATTATAGCATTACTAATAATTAATAAAAAAATTCTCAATTCACTGTTTGATAACAGAATAATAAGTATTTACCAAAGTTTAATCAATTTTGATTTACCATTTATCAGTTATGGTTATTATACACTGTTACCTAAAATGGTAAATTGATTAATTGATCTCAGGAAATTAATCAGCACCTTATTTAATAAACGATAAATTGTTTCAGTTATTTCAAAGAAAAAAATGCCTAAAAATCTCCTGTTGCAGCTGCTCAAATATGAGGATTTGCACTTGTTCTTCACTTGTTCACTTATTGCTATTCATGGTATTTAATTGATATGTCAAGAGTAAATGATAATAGAATTATTGTAGCTTCAACCCTAAATATTAAAAACAGTGATGCTGGATTAAATGCAGGTTTTGTTTCCTGTGAATTCTTCATGCATGTGATGGCAATTTGAATCCCGCACCAAGAATTTCAGAGTGGAAATACATGGAAGGGAAATTCCTGTAAAAACATCAACTGCAGTGTGCAATCAAAAACTCTGAGCTTTGGTTTCATGAAAGTCTGAAGGATTGTAACTTTAACAATCTCAACATATGCTCATGAATGTATGATTTATTCTGTATCTGTTCATCTTTCATTTACATATCTTCTCTCCTCACTTCTCTTTCACCCAGAGGCCTCTGACATCATGAGAAGTATCGGCGAGGCCATATATTTCTTGCATTCCATCAACATTGCTCACAGAGACATCAAGGTAATGCCTCGTTTTATATATTTCGAAGGAGAAATTACAACAGTGGACTGTTTTCATTGAAAGTAACATGAGATCATTCATCATCGGTTAGTAAAATTATTATTGTGCTCTTAAGCTACTGACAATTTAATATCCTGTGCATGTCAAAGAGCTCATATTTAGGGCCAAGTAGAAAACTTCTGCACACATGGAAATCTAAGAAAAAGGTGAATGGCAGCTGAATTAGACAGATTGGATGGCCCCTAATGGCAAACACACAGTTGTTTCCATGAACACATCCAACACTGGAAGCCGTTTTTTTGTGTCTTGCTTTGGTTACTAAGCACCACTTTTTATTTTTCCTCGTCCACTGTAGCGTGACAGCCCAAATAAAGTGCTGTTTTACAAAACCAAAAAGATGCATAGTTCTTAAGGAAATGGGACAGTGTATTGATGTGTAAATGGAGAATGTATGTTTAATTCATTTGAGTAAAAAACTGAACAAATGTATACACATAATGTTGCATTGTTGTGTACACTGATTACGCTGATGGTCCAAGTCCAGTGTGCGTAATGCCAGTTGGGCTGAGTTACCAAATGAAATATTAAAGAGCTCTTATATGACATGCTTACCTTGAGTTTATAATTAAGAGAGACAGGAACCACGGGGAGACAAGGAAAGCATTAAAATAATCTGTCTCTGTACAGATTAAATGGGACCTCAAAGTTACGAGGTATGCGTGCTCTTGCTACCAGTTAACCCACAAAGGAGGAAAAGGTAAATGTGACTAAATACCATGAAAGCAGATTCAGCGTATAACTGACATTGTACGGTCACGATGTACTGTAAGCTCTCTTCATCGTCTCTGGGTGGCTTTTGACACGCTATGTATGCACACAGGGCTGTTACCAGAACTCTTCCAGGAGCACAGAGCTGTAATATTAGTTTAAAACTCACTATTTTCAAGGTCCAGTGTGCTCTCTGTTACATATCTATTGTTTTCCTTCGTTTGGGGTTTGACTGGTGCTTTTTTTAAAGGTCTAGTCTGTAGGATTTAGTGGTATCTAGTGGCTGTGGTTGCAGATTGCAACTCACCAACATGCAGATATGAATGGCCGTATCTAGAGCCAGTGTTTGATTTATCCATTTGGGGCTAGAAACAACATGGCAAACTCCGTAGAAGAGAACACGCTCCCTATGAAGATATAAATGGCTCATTCTAAAGTAATGGAAACACAACAATTCTTATTTTCAGGGGATTATGCACTCAATAAAACATACTTTATATTTAATTACTGCCAACATATCGCCCTACATTTTACACACTGGACCTTTAATTACGTCATTTTGTTGTGCCCTCCTCTGCAGTGGCACCTGCCTGGAGAATTAGCACCACTCACTGCTTATCTTGATGAACCAACTCCCAATATTTGCATAACAATAGTGGATAGAAAAGCACATAAATGAATTTTCTTTTGCTGATTTTCTGAAAATTCAGTAAAAAAAATTGCACTATATTAGGATGGTGACCCAATTTATGTATTTTTTCCTTGGTATGAAATATCTGTATTTTACATGGTATTGTATCAAAGTTGGAAATTCCTCTGCAGTAGCCTCACTTTCTACGCAGATTAAAGACAGACCTGAATGTTTTTAACTTAATTTGGGAGTGTTTCTTACTGTCCAAAGACAGGGAGAGGCGTCATTTTAAAATAGACAGAGCTTTTGTTTAGGCTCACATTTGCTATTTATTTTATTTCTGTTTTCATATTTATTTGCTTTTCTTGTGGTTGATGACCAGTTATGTCACTCCTGTTCTCCAGATGCTTAATTGCTGTTGATGTCTCTTTCAGCCAGAGAACCTGCTGTACACCTCCAAAAGGTCAGATGCCCTCCTCAAGCTGACAGACTTTGGGTTTGCCAAAGAAATCACCACCTTAAACTCTTTAGCAACACCATGTTTTACCCCTTACTATGTAGGTAAGACCCCACAACATGTGATGTGAAAGTAATTGTATCGGGTTGATGATACACTAGACTGTTTGTCCATGCAGACAAAGTGACGGTTACAGCTGTGAACATGTTATTTTTGTTTAGGTGAATGTCTCATTGAATTATATGAGTGTGTGTGAGATGAGACCTCCTGATGTCAGTGATAGCCGTATATCAACAGGAACCACTGCGAGCAGCAAGATAATCACAGCTTTGGTTCAGTGGAAAGCCTTACAGACCACACGACATACTGTGTAAATGCAATGTACAGAGTTCTGACATTTTCTTCACACTGGTAGTTCATTATTTATTAATAACAAGGGCTGTCCTGAATACCACTTTTTGGGCATCAAAGCTTCTGTGAGAAATATCTGGAATTATTGAAAGCTTCCATGGTGGCAGGGAGTTTAGTGAGAGACGAGAACATAAGTGGGACTGTTTTGAAACATCAGTGTTCAGTTGATTCACCGAAAATAATGTGACAATTAATTTTGTTAGCATGCAGGTCACATTATAAGCCATTATACTTGAAAAAAAAAAAAATTTTTGCTAGGTGGCCAAGCTGTTACTTAAAGTGTTCAGGTGAGCTCGCTGTAGATTGGTGTGGCATATTTGCCATTTTAGAAACTCTTCCAGATGTTTGACTTTTTGGACTTTTTTGACTTCTTGTTAGTGATTCATGGACTATCTATCTATCTTTCTATCAAATCTAATTCAGTTGTTCTCAGCTGGTGGGTCTGGGCCGCGGGTCCATTCTGAATGGACCGCAAGTGACTCATAAACATGTTAAGTTTGTTTAAAAAAGAACACACTTTGTTTTGGAGTACAGTGGATTTCTGGCACAGAGCTTTTATTTTGAAGTGCAGTTTTCGGCTGTAGAGTGAGTGACAAACAGACAGCACGACTGCTTGACCAAGCGCAAGTATGACCCTGAATGTATTCAACTGTGTGGACCTTGAACTAATCACTAAGGAGAAATTTGGACCCCATGGTTGGACCAGTTGGGAACCACTGATCTAATTAATTACATTCTCTGTGATGAATGAATCTAAATTAATCGCATACATGAACTTTTGCTGCTGGATTTTGGACATAGTTGTCCCCCTGTCCTCTACCACCAAAACTGGTCTGCAGTCCATTGCAATCCATTTTGCGGGGGAGTTAGTCAGTTGGTCACAGGTAGACATACTCAGTTTGCGTCTCAGCGTCTGGTCGAGTTAGGCTTGACAAGGCTGGCTGCTAGCCCTAGCATCAGAGGCTAGCTCAGACCTCGGGGTTCACTGCTACATGCCTTGTGTTTTTTAGGCTTGAAGTACTTTGATGGTACGAAAACTGGATTGTGCTCCTATCAACAGTTCCATCTGAGCGTTTTTAAATATAAATGTTCCATTCACAGGGCCAAGCAGCGTAGTCTCATCTGCCTCCATCATGTGACAAAGCCACTGTGGCCTGCAGCAAAGGACACCACGGAATGTGATTATTCTGCGTTAATTATTTTAAATTCATTATTTTTTCTGGGATTAATTTACTTTTTGAAAGCCTTAATATCATATATACATAAATGGAGCTTCGAAGAGTGATTTGGATGTAGATTACCATGGCAATGATCAGAGCTTTGAGTCTTTGAAGCATTTTAGTCAGCCATGTTAATAACCAGATTCTAAATCATCACATTTTTGCCATGTGCTTTTTAAAATGTAACCATCATCTTTGATGAGGGGATCCCTGAGGGGATTTTGGGGTTTGATTCCTGTGGAAAGTAGCTAGACTGATGTGGGTTATGAGAGGTCACATCCTGTGTGTGGTTGGAAAATCTGACATACTGTACTTTAATGAGTTTGTGTTTTTTTCCAGTCATCTGTCTTTTTTTGTAGAATTCTCAAAGGTACTGAATGTGAAACAGAAGTGAATCCTTCGATTTAAATAGTTTCTCTTGACACTGTGGCAGCTCCAGAAGTTCTTGGTCCAGAGAAGTATGACAGATCCTGTGACATGTGGTCTCTGGGTGTCATTATGTATATTCTGTAAGTCAATCAGTGTGGTGTGTTGTTTCTTTTAGTGATATTTTATCTTGGATCATGGTTGACTCTAAAGCGTCTCTAAATGATTGTTGCATATAATTATATAATTTTCTTGTCATCAAGCAGTTTTTTTTCTCTCGTACACACAGACTTTGTGGATATCCTCCCTTTTTCTCACATCATGGTCTGGCAATATCCCCGGGAATGAAAAGACGGATCTGCAACGGACAATATGAGTTCCCCAACCCCGAGTGGTGCGATGTGTCTGAGGAAGGTGAGAGGGAGGCATGATGGAAACTGAAGTGGATGTTCTATCAGATTGTAAATTTGTCATAATCAGTGTTTACTTTCTGTTCTACTTTCCATGAGTGCTCATACAAGTCATTTTTCTCTAGTTTTTCTTCTGAGAAAGCACAACATACTCTTTCTTTTACGCTACCATTTCCCAAGTTGGTTAGCAGTATAAACAGAAGACCTAGTAGTATTATTCTGTGGCTTCAATACAAAAGCCCAGCAGCAAGGCAATAACAGTGTTTTCAATGGATTCTATGAATTACACATTGCAGAGGCACTCTGATTATAAATATTTTTATATTTAACTTTCCTGTCTATGTTATTATAGGAATTCAGCCTGATGACATTTTGATAAACTGTCCCTCATAATTGCAGATACTGTATGACTGTCAAAGATATGTGTCATTAGTGGGGGGGGGGGGGGGCACACATGAACACTGAATGATGACAATGATTTCTTGTTGCAGCCAAACAGCTAATCTGCCACTTACTGAAAACCGAGCCCACCCAGAGAATGAGCATCACCGAGTTCATAAACCATCCCTGGATTAATGTGAGCAGCTCCCTGTAGGCTTGAATCTGTCTGAGCAACTGCTGCTTTTAAAGGATATGTTTGTGAGATTTGGTGAACACTCATCCATATTCTCTCACCAATGCAGCAGTCGGTGAAGGTCCCACAGACGCCCCTTCACACCAGCCGCGTGCTGCACGAGGAGCAAGATGTCTGGGAGCAGGTCAAAGTAAGTGTACATGTGTGTCACTTTGTTGCTGCTACTTTAGATGCTGCTTCTGATTCGTTTTTTATCTCAGCTGAGTTTGTGTTTGATAATTAAGTTACATTTTCAAATATTTCATGCTAATATGTTGTACTTCATGCATACGTGACTCACTGCACAATGAAATCCTTTTAATATTAATTTAAAAATGTTTGTGCACACTGCTTTCATCTTGGTTGTGTTTGATAAAAGTGATGTTGTTGTTGTTATTATCAGGAGGAAATGACAAATGCCCTGCAAACGATGAGAGTGGACTATGACCAAATTAAAATCAAAACCATTGAAGACTCAACTAATCCTCTACTCTTGAAGAGAAGAAAGAAAAGTAAAAAATCAGCCACACAACCTCCAGGCTAGTAAAATAAAGACTTTTTAAGAGGTATTCAGTTTCACACAAACACTCACACATGCACAAAATTTAGTTGGAAGAAAAAGCTTTCAAGGAGAGCTTTAGGGATGATGTGCATTGCCAAGTAGCTTTAAAATAATACCTTTATGGTGTGTTTTTAGTGGTTTTAATTTCTCAAAGATTTTATTTTCACACATGAAATGCACCCAGGTAAATGTGCTTCGAGGACTTTTGAACTCTTTCTATGCTTTTAAAATGTATTCTCTGTGTGCACTTATTTATAAATCCTCAGAGAGAACAAAATGTACTGTATGTGTTGTATATTAGGAGAGTGTTTATTATGTATATATTTGAGTGAGCTTTGTTGGCGTCAGCTGACAGTTTTTAGGTTGTTTTCTGTCTCTTAATTTTTTCCGTTCTCAGTGTTGAAACCATTTTGAGTGACTTTTTTCTCTCTTAAGGGTGCAGTTGAGAGATATTTTGCAAGCATCATTCATATTTATATTTTGAATGATCGTTACCAGAAGCCACAGTGTTTGTTTTGGATGCCGATGTGATGGCAGAAATATTTCTCCTTACCACAGTGTAGGAGTTTTCCTGCCACATTGTGGCTGTGCTGTGTCTAAAACCTATTTACCATGTGTAGCAATAATGTGTAGAAATAATCACACTTACTATACTCAAAAAACAGGTGTTGATTGCATTTGATGGATAAAACGGAGCTGCCACCTGAACCCTATGTGGTTCTGTAGAAGGTATTTTCTCTGGAGCAGTAATATAAAAGTAGCTGCATGAAGTCTGTTGTGTGAGGCATGAAAAGAGAAGTGAACGGCAGTAAACTTTTACATGATAAACAGATGTACAGTGGGAAATGCTGCACGTCACTATTATCCTGTTTGCCTTTTACTCTGGATCAAATCTCTTGATACTCTCTGTGGTTTTTGCGTGTTGTTTGATCAGTTAGCATTTCACCATTAGCATAAAATCAAATAAACATCCAGCAGCTCAGTTGTGTCTAACAAATACATAATATTTATGGTGGCATGTTAAATTAGTCTGCCATGGAAAATTAAACAGAATGAAACAGTGTCTGGAACAGTTATTAAACACTTGTTTTGGAGTTTTCATTTTGCAAAAAAAAAAGGCCCACATTTTGCCATACCACCACTGCATTTTTCACCAGTGGCACTCTAAAAAGTGGCCAGGGGGGGGGGGCATGACGAGCCTGATACACTGACACCCCCGCCCCCGTGCCCCCGTGCCCCCCAACCCCCCACCCCCCCAAATGAAAACAGTGCTGCAGGAGAGAGTCATAATACCCTCAAATAAGTTTGTATATGAGCACTCCCAGCTCCCTCGTCTCAAAGTCAGTGGCTTTTTTTGAATGGGTTTTTTTTGTTAGATGCTTTAAACCCCCTTTTAACTTTTGAAGACACATAAACTCGTCTTTACAGCCTTGTTGTGGTGACCGCAATGTAGTTTGTTTATAGCCTAACGTTAGATACACTTCATTATTAATACCCAAGGGGAAACTCACTTTTTTTCGCTCTGTGTTTGTCATATACACACAGGTCCAAAATACACACATGCACAAACAGGACTTATACATGTATTAATTGGAGAGATGTCAGAGTGAGGTGGCTGCCCATGGACAGGCGCCCCGAGCGGTTGGGGGGATTCGCTGCCTTGCTCAAGCACCTCGGCTATGCCCAGGAGGCTGTGCCCACTTCAACAGCATAATAGACTTCCTGAAATTCAGTTCTGGCCACCAGAATGTGGCCACCACTATAAAAGAAATTCTGGGGCTCCACAGTTTGTAACACAGGTCTCTTTTATCTGTTGTGCATTTGCTGTGCAGAGACACAAGTATTAAGTTTTCAGAAAAACAGCTGCTTGCAAAATGTGTAATGATGCAATAGACTAACAAGCTAACACATTTCTAGTTGTGGCTATGTACGAATAATCAGCGAGTAACTTCTGCTAAATTCAGTTGTAATTTTACTTTTAATGTCCATTATATTGTTCATATGTGGAAGGCAAGGTTATTACAGTTAAAACTAGGTGTGAATAAACATCTTAGTTATGTGAAATAAATATGAAAATTAGATTTAAGAAAATAAACAAAAACTGAAACGAAAGTGTGTACGTACAAAACTAACCAAAAAATCGAGGAAATGTCTTTAGTTTTCGTTAATTTGGACAAATTGGTCAAGACAACAGACATGGGAAGGCACTGGTGCACTTGTTTATTGAGACTGGGATGTCTACATGACAGTGAGTCAATTGCCTTCACAAAGTGTTGCGTTTGTATTGACACACCATTGTTTTATTGTTATTTTTATATATGCTGTCATATGTTCTGAACTTCTTAAATCTTGCTCCTAAAAACGACCCACCATTTTATAAAAAAAATAATGCTAAAAAAATTAAAATTAAACTGAAACAAACAAACTCTGGGAACGAACTGAAACTAAACTGAATTTAAAACAAATATTAAAAGCGGGAAAAAAAAGTGAACAATACAAAAATTGAGCATAGCGTTAGTTCAGGCAGGACCCGATGTCAAGCTCAGCTCACATCCCAGCTACATCAGCTGATCTAAAAGGGAAGGGAGTCAGCTGATAGAGCACATGAATCCTTTCTATGCAACCACTTGGTGAATCTCATTCAAGGCACCCTATTTAAACTGCTCTGGCCTGCCTACTGTTGCTGCTTCCTCTGCAAGCCGCTTTGCAACCCACCTCCACCCCAGCTCCTCCTTTTCATGCTGTGTCTGACTTATCAGTGTCATTTCTGTTTGTCATTAATGCTGCTCTGTTATGTTTCTGGGGTCTTTGCTGCTGCTCTCCCTGCCTTTGTCTTTTCATGTAGGCCCGTGGAAGGGCAGAGAGGTTTGCTCTTTCTGTCTCAGGCTTTCCTTGTTTGTGTGTGGAAGGGCAGAGAGGTGTGCTCTCTCTGCCTTAGGCTTTCCACATAGGCGCATGGAAGAGGCTTTCATCGTAGATTTAGGAAAGGCAGAGAGGCCCCTGAACAGAGCCATACCACCAAATATATTACTGCAAATGGAAATAAAGTTTTCAATGACTGAATTGGTCCTGACTGAACTATAGTAACAGGTGGATGGACGGGTAGCTGCAGAATTTACTTGCTACAATTGAACGTCAACTATGACACAAGATAAAATAAAAAAGACTAAAAGGTTTTGAAGTCTCCTCAAAGAGAGACCTAAGAATTTAGAAGCAATCTGCAGCTTTTGTAATGCAGAAAATGTAAGCTAAAACATGAGCAATTGTTAACATGCTCACGTTGTATCCAACGTAAGTGACGACTGTAAAGTGACCCGTGGTCATTTTATCCCAACAACTTGAAGCAAATGTCATGACAGTCCATCCAATTATTTGCCAAGAAATGTGCTCAAAATGCTGTAATCTATCTAAAAACTATTGGAATTTACCAACAGTATATTTGTAGCCCTCATTAGTAAATGTGCTAAAAGACATCAGGCACCAGTAATGTCATTCATACATGCATGTACTTAAAAAATCACCGCACTGTCATCACCTAATTTTTTAAAGAATTCCCGAGCAGTAAAAACTCAAATATGTTATAAAGTAGCATATTCTTTTCATTGCAGTCCCCCGTCTTGAGTTTATAGTGAAATCCATTCGTGACAAGAAATAGTTTTGGTTTTACCTTATGGTACAGCTCGCAACAGCAAAGCGCCTCAGGCATCAACGCCTATTGTGTGCTGTCATATAATTTGGACTTTGTAGGCTGTTAGGCTTTTCAGGCTGTAGTTGGATCCATGAACAAATGACGCCCACACAGAATGTTTTGGATTAAACATGTTGCTCTAATTACAACACGACATTTCCAGCATTTGCATCCTGTTTCAATTCAGACTGTCTTTGTGGCACATTCTGAGACACACACACACTCAGAAAACAAAGCTGTCCAGATGCAAAATATTAATGCTTATTGTATAATGTGGATCGAAGGGAGATTTTACCATTGTTTGATCGTAACTGAAATGCAACATCAAAGTTTTCAAAGTGACATTGTTTTCCTGGAATTTTTTTAATTTCCTAGTAACTGCTACTTTGGACACATTTGTGAGGAAAGATTTCCATTTATGATTTTTGCTAACACAGTTATAACAGAATGATAGGCATCGCTTCTGTGACACTGGATCATGTAACATCTCTTTTAAAAAACAGTGTTTACTGTTTAATCAAGTTTTGGATAAAGTGAGTATTTCGGCCAAAGATTGTTGTGCTGTGACTAAAAACCTGCCAAGACCATTGTGCAGAGGAGTCCCATCTGTGTAACCCCAGGTCCACTTTCCTTTCATGTAATTGTTTGATGATTAAGGTCAATTACGTGCTGAATCTTGTCCATTTTCAAATTAGCACGTCATCGTTTACTTCCTCAGAGGGGCAGAGGAAGCCGTCCCCAACATAATCCCTGAAACTCTGCCTGCAATTTTCCTGCTCCAGTGGAGGACATGAATGGTGAGGCCCGTTCATTCAAGACAGTCTGCAGGATGATAATGGTGCTGTCCTGTCTGCAGGCGCCAGCACAAGCATATGTTAACTTTCTCCACAGTTTGAACACTGTAATTGACAAAAGTTATGAATACCTGAAGCAGGCAGGGACAGAGATGGAAAGAAAAACATGTCTGAAGAGGATGGTTGTGGACAGATAACAGGGGTCGTCATACTTTGTACATGTTGAAACAAACAGTGAATAATACACAAAAACATGCTGCAGCTTAAGAGTTGGATTTGTAACTAAGCCGCGATGTGTTATATAAGAAGAAACACATCCCTAATTACAGTGTCTACCCTGGTTCGTTAAATTTTCTGTACCATAACACTCCACCCTCTCCATACTCTCAATGCTATACAATAAACAGCAGGCCAGACTTCAAGTGGCTCTCCTAATGATAAGGCACAGCACAGTAAAGGGAAAATAAGGTTGTTAAAAAGCAGGTGTCTGCACTGGGTTCACAGATGGGATTGTTATTGACCAGGCTGGAGGTGATACGTTGTGGTGTAGGTTTTACATGCAGCTAAAAAAAAAAAAGTGTATGTCCTCTAATGAGAGTGGGTGTCTGGTGATGGGGCAGCAGCTACGTAGAGGTAGGGGTGGGGGGGTATTTACCCTATACCAACAACATATTCCACTCAGTCTGAGGAAGACACAAGCGACATGAGCAAGGGAGGAGGTGTCGTCTCTGATCAACCAGCTGGTAGGTATACTGTACTGACTGTACATTTAAAAAGTGGAGTGGAGAGTCTGTTACTTGCAAAACATTTCCTATCATCAATGTGTTACAGATTTGGGATTGGGTTACAGGTATTGGATTGAATTTGATTTAACATCCTCTGTAAATATCTTTTTTTTTTCCCCTGGGTTTTCCATCAGTGATGCGGACAGTGGTGCTCCTCCTCATTATGGGAATAGTGGATCTGAGCACCAGTCAGTATTACAGTCATTTCCAGTGGCTGTCCCATCTGCGAGGGCGGCGGCGCCATGCCGGCTTGTGGGCCGAGGATGTGGACTGCCCCCTGGAGTGCGACTGCCCCTCATCCTTCCCCACAGCTATGTACTGTCACGGCCGCAACCTTCAGCACGTTCCATACGTCCCCTCACACATTAAGTACGTCTACCTGCAGCGTAACCAGATCACAGGCATCCAGGATGGGGTGTTTGACAACGCTACCAACTTGGTCTGGGTCGTGCTGTTTCACAACCAGCTCAGCTCAGACAAGATCGGCAAGAATGTTTTCAGCAAGCTCAAGCACCTGGACCGGCTTCTCTTGGATCACAATGAGCTCACACGTGTGCCTCCCAACCTGCCCAAGTCAGTCACGGACCTGCGACTTGATCATAACAAGATCACAAAAATCCTTTCCAGCTCCTTCGAAGGGATGGCCAACCTCACCACCCTTCAGCTCCAAGCAAATGTTATAGAGGACGTTGGAGGTGTGTTCAAGGGACTGAAGTCTCTGACTATGCTGGATATGAGGGAAAACAAGCTGAAGAAAATCCCCGACAACCTCCCTGAGAGGCTGCAGCAGCTGTACCTGGAGTTTAATAACATAGAGAGTGTGCCGCCAGGCTTCCTCACCATGAATCCTAAACTGCAGTTTGTCCGCTTGGCTCATAACAAGCTGACAGATAAAGGACTTCCATCCAATGTCTTTAATATCAGCACGCTGGTTGAACTTGACCTTTCTTTCAATAAACTGGAGAAGATCCCTGTTGTCAGTAGGAACCTGGAGAACCTTTATTTACACGCCAATAAGATCAAAGGTAGAGACACCTCTCTGTTACTATAACATGTAATGTGAAAGTAAACATACTAAACAATTTAAAAGTCAAGTTGGAGATGTTAGGGTGATGTACAAGGAATAACTGTGATGTATTGTAATTATATACATGTTTTACTCTTATTCTTAACAATCAAAAACAATATATTTTACATTTTTATACTGAAACCAGTCTGAAATTGTGTAAAATGTTGATTTGAATTGAGATTTCCAGTGCCGAGCTAGTGTACTGTATATTACCAGTTATCTATTCTTTCCGCGACTGTTTCCCCTCTTATCTCAGATTTGTAATTGGGTTGGTTGGCAGAGCAAGACACACGCTCTGCCACTTACTTGCCGATGAACTCAGCGCTTAACGACGCACAAGTCTCACAGATTTTTAACAACACAAATGTGGACCCTCCCAGTGCGACCAGACTCGGCAAATGAGGTTGCAGCGTTAACTTAATGAGAGTCTGATAGAAAAGTGTTTGATTTAAAGCAGCTAATCTTATTGAGGTCTTTGCATCTTTTATAGAAAGTCGCACTCCAGTGACTTAATGCACAAAATACCAAAGTTCCCAATATAAAAAACCCCAAAAATAATGAAAACTGCAGGGGAAAAAAGACAGTCTTGACTGAGTTTAATCAAACAAGAGTAGCTTTAATATAGAAATATGAGAACCATATCCAGCCTTGTAGCACAAACATGCACAGGAGGAACACAGCAGCACTTATTTTTATGAACTTTGGCATGGTTTGAGAGCTCTCTGTTATATGAATAACTTGGTTCCAGTTTATAACCATTAACAGGACAACTAGAACTTGTGTCCTCCCCTCATATTTCTCTCCTCTTGTGTGTTTCAGAGTTCTCCCTGAGCAGTTTCTGCGATACAGTCGGCATGACAAACTTCTCCAGGCTCAGAATGCTGCGTTTGGATGCCAATGAGATCAGCGCCGAAGACATTCCTGCTGAGGCTGCCTACTGTTTGCGGCATGTTGCCTTTATTGATGTGTAGCGCTTCCCTCTCGCTCTCTCTCTCTCAACTATATTCACCCCGTATTGTTCACAGTCCGCTCCATCAAAACATATTTGAGATGATATGTTGTTTAACTGTGATGAGAGGTACTATTATTCCAGCTAATTAAACAGTTCCAGTGTTCGTCAACGGGAAATGCCACAGCTGTATAATCACGTATCCAGATGAGTGGCCCATGGATGACAAACACCAATGAGAAAAGTCCAGATGACTTTCCACAAACTAATTAGATGAGCAGTCCGAGTATTCTGGCAAAAGTTGCATAAATATGATTTAGCAGATGACCTCGTCTGCCTGTGTCCTGTCTGGCAACATGCAACCTGTTAAAAGCCTCCTATCATCAGAGTGAGGCTCAGTTTGGATCTTTGCCTCCACCATGTGGCACACGGTGATAAAACAGCAGGTTGAGCAGCCATGATACTTCTCATTATTTGGCCAGATCTATCTAACATATCACCAGTGACAGCACTGCTTCTGGTTAAAGTACTTAATAACTTTTCCATTATGTGACCAAGCGTGTCTGTAACACGTGAAAAATGTATTTCTACTGAGAGCAGCCTCTTAAAGGAATACTTCACCCACAAAATGACCTTTTATATATTAGTCATGCCATGTTACCTTGAACTCATGAAGAAAATTTTGTTTCATAAGTAAACAAGTTGATAGGTTTCATTTTCAGTTCATTTATAATGTGCTTTTGAGCGAAAAGCATGTGTTTGAGAAGTACTGAGCACATGTCTGGATAAATGAGACTTGGATTATACCGCACGAGTTATGCCAGAGTTTGTTAACAGATGTTTTGATAGAGTTTTGCTGTTGTTAAATACAAAAGACACGCACATCCCACTGTCCACCGGAGTGGGTGCTGGACCAAAGAAACATCTGGCAAAGTATGAAACAAATAACTCCGCACACCAAGCAGCTCCTGTTTGGAAGGGTTTAATGCAGAGTGAATGTGGTCCTTTATCAATCAATAAATATGTTAAGTATTTTCCATGGAGGCATGCAACAGAGACTAAGTTGTTGTTGCATGCCTCTGTGGTTCGCTATCCATACTAAAATGGTCATTTTGTGGGAGGAGACTTCTTTTAAAAAACTGTATCGAATAACTTTTGTAAAACATTTACGTCTTTTTGGGGTTTAATTTCTGAGCCAGTCTGTATCATACTGTATATTAGATGAGCTTGACCTGTCAGTAAGCTAATGTCAGGATATTTCACATGAATGACACAATTTTGTTTGTATCCTACATCACCACTTTGTACCTATTATTACATCTGAGAAAAGGCAATGTGTTTCTTGAGTTTTTTGTGCCCCTAATTGTTGACAGTGATAGATTATTTTAGCAACAGCATGTTGTGTTTTCTCTAATTTGAAGGTAGAAGAAGGCAGCGAGATTGGGAGAGAGAAAAAGGGCGGCAGCTCTCTTAACAACTGGTCTTAGGCTGTTCCAACATATTTATTGTTGAAGACGACTTGCCTTTTCATCTTGCACAGCTGCCTTTAATCCTCTGTAGAAAGGCACTCAATTGAATTATAGAAATACTTTCCTTGTTTTGTAATGCAGCAAAGTCTCGGGATGAAGAATGGATTACTGCCAGTGTAACGGTAGTTTGCACACTGATAAGTGGTAGCCTGTGAAATTAGTGTGCTATAGGTCACGATATATTGCAGGCTGCACACAGTTCTGCAGCGACTGTGGGGTAGGGCCATGTTGTTGTTTTTTTAAGCCTTCACTTCCTACACAGATTCCTCAAGAACAAAATAGAGGCCAGCACACATGCGCACAGTCATGTGGGAATCTTTTTGACAAGATTTACTGATGTGGTCTCCTCCTCGAGACGCATACAATTCAAATGTGTGGGGAATAGCCAGATTCCTCTCCAACTCAGACGTTATGCAATTGATTATTATAAAACAAGAGGCTGGGCCATCACTGAGTAAACATGAGTGAAAGTCATGACAACACGAGGGAATGCACTGCCCCCGCTCTCTCGGTCTCTTTTAGTACTGTCCTGTTATTTACCATCATGCAGTCGGGATAAAATGTCATGCATGTGTATGAGTTAACTATAGTAGCACGTTACTCCCACCAGCTCTTGTCGTGCCCTGCACAGTGAGGACATTCCTTGTGTAGCTGCAGCAGCGACTGGGGTGTTTCTATTGGGATCGTATCTCAGCCTCTCTGCCACTAACAACAGATCAGTGTGTTTTATCATTGACAGAACATTCTCCAGAGTCCGTGTTGAAACCATACTGATTTGTTAAGAAATTGGATATAGAAATCTTTCAGAAGTTTGCTGTGTGTGGGATATGCACTGATCAACACTGTAGGCTGATAATGAGTGGAACTAAACTGCTTTTCAAAGGCCATTTTAACAAGCATAAAAGCATTAAGTCAGACAGGATGTCGGCTGTGAAGTGGCCCAAATCCTTTAATGAGGTCATTGCCGGCTCTTTACATGTGATTTCGCTGTGCTGGTATATAAATGCACTGCTAGCTGGACAGCTGAAGAGCGATATATTTTGGATTTGGTACTGATGGAATCTTTATTATCAGTTCGGTGTTTGAATAGAGGCAGACTAATAAATAACTTGTGGAAAATGTTACAAACAGTTGGTTAAGTGGTAGCAAATGGACACACATTATTCAACATACATAACTAGTGTAAAAATAAAACTTTTAGTGAAAAGATATCTGCAATACATAACGCATAAACATAATATACATTATTATTCCAAATAAGGACCATATTTGCTCTCAGTCAAAGCCAAGCTTCTGATTAAATAGGTGAGCATGACACATGACACACACACAATACTGATATGAAAACTTGGTCATGATGGATAAAATGTGCAGCTTCACAAGTGCTCCATCAGCCGCTGCAGCGATGTGGCCTTTAATACCTGCGGAGAGAGAAAAATACTGTAAAATCAAAAAATATAAAGATGGATGTGCACTGTAGTCCTACTTTAAGGCTGACACTGTTTATTAGGCATTTAATCATGTGCAAACTCCAACTATTAAACTGTCAGTGATGTAGGTGAGAGGGATACTCACATTATTATGGCTCCATCTCCAAGTCCTGCAGCTCTCTGCTTTAATCCAGATGACAAATGAATGCATTAGCATGAGCTCAACAAACATGGAAAGACTTATCACTTTTATTAAAGGGGAACTCCTGTATTTTTCAACCTGGATCCTATTTTCTCATGTTTTTGTCCCTAACTGACTAATGAAGACAACAACTTCTGAAACCAGTCCAGTACTGAGTGAGAGCACCACAGCTGTAGCAGCAAAACAAGCTGCAGTGTACTCCCTACAGGCAATTGTGCACAGTCACTTTGTGTCCACTAAAAGTGTTTGTTTTGCCACTAACAGACTCAGATTGTTGTTTGAAGTGTCTGACAACATTATGGAAAGGACCCTACAGTTAAATTAAACTTGTTTTTCCTTATCGTTGCTGGGAGAAGGAGAAGTCTCATTCTGAAAGGTCATGGGAGGTGACTAGTTGCAGTAAAAACAAGGGTTGAAACATTTGTAAGCGTTTGTGAGAGAAGTGCCAGGATGAGATGGTAGTATTGGAATTCCTGGTGTGCCATATCATAGCATTCACGATAATACCGGTATGTTTTTTAACATGATGTGAAAAATTAATAGCGTGATACTCGTGATATTTCGGCTTTCTGACATAATGACGTCATTCTGTTACCCACCGCAACAACAAGCATGGCCGAAAGCGAATATTATTACAGACTCTGCTGTGGTTCCAAAAAGAGGAGCAGCTTCAGTAGTGTGGAATAAACTGTGTGGAACATCCTGAATGTTTTATGAACAGCCCTCTGGCAGAAGCACGGTGTCTCACCCTCTCCTCTCTCACTGTGCGCACACAGGAGTCGGTGTCGTCAAGTGATTTTGTCATTAACCTTTAGTAATGTAAACCTATGTGAGGCTCTTGACTTGACAAAAACTATATATGTGAATGTGCGATAGTTGTAGTAACAGCCTGTCAGAGGTTACAGCATGATGATTAGAGGCGAAATGGCAGAGCATAAAGGTCCAGGTGGAAAATAAACAACTCAATCATTTAGGATTTTAGTAAAGAAGGAAATCACCTGTTGATTTATAGGGGACATTTTTTGTATTTGGGAGCTGTTTAAATGTGTAATTTGTGGTAGATTTTATTTTGTTGAACCATTAATATTGTATACAGAATCTGAATCTCACTCTGAGTTACTGTTGTTGTTTACAAACTAAAGAAATGAGAGATCATTTTTGTTTAGCTTTTACTGAATATTTGAAGGTAAACTGTAAAACAATATCACTTATTTTGTTGCACTTCTGTTTTCTTAAATGAATAATATATATGTATA